ATGCCTTTTAACAATCCATACAATTTTCAAGCGCGTTCCTTGGCACAACTTTTTATTTTTTTAACTCAACAATTCATCAACATTTATTGATACGCAATGTTGGGAGAGTAAAATAAGGTAATATTAACTTTAAAAAAAATAAGGTAATATTAACTAAATAAGAGTAAAATAAGGTAATATTAACTTTAAAAAAATGTTATAAGCTTTGGTTCAACGTTGTACATTCGACTAATTTGTCTTTTTCAGACGAACCACGTGTCACAAATTTATCGGGTTCATCAATTTTCAATAGTTCAAAATATCAGTTTTTAAAAGTTTCATAGAAAAGGCAATATCCTCACTTGTAAAGAAATTGCATGTATTAGAAACAAAATGTTCGTCTTCTAGTGAATTCAAATTATTCGATAAAAAAATAAAGCAAATCATTTCTAACAACAGATTTAGCCACGTATCTATTATCATTCAAAGAATAATAAACCTATATGTATATGTATCTGAGCTAATTAACTCGTATATATATATATATATATATATATATATATATATATATATATATATTTTTAGTATTGATTTTATGATTTCAACGTTTGATATCTTAAAATTTTATATTTTTTATTTGTAATTTTTTCGACTCTGCCACTCTGTTTCTTATACAGTATGTAACGCCATAAATAGCGTTATATAAACGATGGTATGTCTTACTTAGATGAATTTAAAATTGTTAACGCGTGCACGGAGAATGCTTGTTTTAAATATTCTGTAGCCAAACTCGAGCGAAAAAGTGAAAGAAAAGTTTTTGATGTTTGCGATTACTTCAAAATGGAATTTCTCAACGGTAGCATGTTTCATATGATTTGCATTCAACTTTTATGTAGAGTTTCAGTTTTTTATTTTTATGTTAATTAGCAGTTGTTAAAGAAAATTTAACTAGATTCAAGTTTTTAAAAGTGAATTTATTATAAGAATCTAAATAAAAAAAGAAAGAAATAATTTTTTTTTAATTTGTAAAATGTATCTCGAAATAAGTTTTTTAAAATTTTAAGAAGAATTACAAATTATTCAAAAATCAAACGAAAAAATTTCGCCGTATATTTCAAGCAGGATCAACGATTGTGTCTATTAAAATGTTCAACTAAGTTTGGTGAATGACAACCGCGAACTGCTTCCAATTAGTAAACTTCATAAGTCGTCTCAAAAATAGTACTCGAACTTCCTCCACCATTTTTGGTTCCACCGCTGCTTCCACCAGAACTTGAACTGCCACTAACACTACCAACACTAACACCACCACTAATGCCAGCCCCACCACCAGTTTCACCAGAACCCCCTAAACTTGCACCACCCCCGATAGAACCACTGCTTGAGCCCAAACCAACGCCTACTTTACCACCAAGGCCAGCACCGCCACCAATACCAATTTTACCACCAGTGCCTAGTCCAGCAGCACCACCAAGCCCAGCACTACCGCCAAGTTTTAATCCTCCACCAACACCAACGCCAACACCGCCACCAACACCTCCGTCAGGACTTCCAGCCCCGCCACCAATACCAATTTTACCACCAGTGCCTAGTCCAGCACCACCACCAAGCCCAGCACTACCGCCAAGTTTTAATCCTCCACCAACACCAACGCCAACACCGCCACCAACACCTCCGTCAGGACTTCCAGCCCCGCCACCAATACCAATTTTACCACCAGTGCCTAGTCCAGCACTACCACCAAGCCCAGCACTACCGCCAAGTTTTAATCCTCCACCAACACCGACGCCCACACCGCCACCAACACCTCCGTCAGGACTTCCTTTTACTCCAAGACTTCCACCAAGTTTTCCACCAAGACTGCCACCAACACCAACCTCTCCGTCATGACTACCTTTCCCACCAACACCCAAACCAACACCATGACCTCCATCATGACTACCTTTCCCACCAACACCAAAACCAATACCATGACCTCCATCATGACTACCTTTCCCACCAACACCAAAACCAATATCATGACTTCCTCTTTCTCCCACACCCAGACTTCCACCAAAACCAATACCATGACCTCCATCATGACTACCTTTCCCACCTACACCAAAACCAATACCATGACCTCCATCATGACTACCTTTCCCACCAACACCAAAACCAATACCATGACCTCCATCATGACTACCTTTCCCACCAACACCAAAACCAATACCATGACTTCCACCACCCAATATTCCACCTAATAAACCGCCACCTATTCTTCGTCCTTAAATAATAATATGTATATTAATTTCATTATGAATTTTTATTATATTATACCTGTTTTTATTTATAAGTTGCTCTTATATAAAAACGTAAAGATAATGCCAAAACCTTTTTTGTGCTTTCCGCCTTTATTTAAATTCAAAAATCCGAGGTTGCCTATGTTTGGCCATCTGTTACCTGTCTTTTGTTGCCATCTACTAATCCATCCTTTTCTTCTTCTTCTCTGTTGTTTTTTACCTTTGCATTTCTTTGAATCGACATGCTTACATATTCTGGTTTATTTTTAAGAATTGTTGGTTTTGAATGATAAACCGTAATAAATTAATATGTGTATAGTTATTAAGCACATGTTAAAATGTTTTTTTATCGCTAACAATTTTAATTTTATTAATAAGAGTATCAAATTTCCTAATATTTCCACCTTTTTCGAATCCAGCCTCCATCGTTGATTTGAATCCAATCTGACCAATTTTTCCAATTGATCAAGTCTTCTGGATTGTCTACATTTTATAATTTTATCTGATCTTAATATTTTTGATGTAATGTTCTAAGCCATAATATATTCAACTAAAGAACTATCAATAATATTTAGTGACCATTTGTGACTATTAACGCAGTTGGAAAAATAATTTACCTTCCTGGTCATCATCGTATGACCATTCGCCAACTATTTTCCATTTTCTGTGTCTTTTCCTCTGTTTACTTTTACCTTTACATGTTGCATTTTGGATTTTACACATTCTAGTTCTTTCCAACCATTCACTGCTGGTTTCTTTCCATTCATTCCAAGGGCCCCAATCACTTGGCACTTCATTCATTTCACCTATTTCTCCTTTCCAATTAAATTAAGTAATTAGCTAATATTTTAAAAGGTTTTTTTTACCAGAATTTCTTTTAATGATTAAATATTATATATAACTAATCTCAAAACAATTTCACCGTTATCATCAGATGAACGATCGAAAGACCACGATCCAAAGTTTTTGTCATGCTCATCAAGTCCTCCACTTCCATGGCCACCAATGACCACCTTGAAAAAAGTAATCTTCAATGAAAATTTTTGTATAAACCTGATTAAATTTTTTAAAATTAAAAGTTTTATTTAACCATTAACCTTCTTCAATCTTTTTTTAGTTTGACTCGCATGCCCTCTACATTTGGATTTATCAGAGTTTTTACATTTCCTCTCTCGCACCATATGACCTTTCTTATTTTTTTTCCAGTCACCCCACGTATCCCAGTCTTCCAAATGTTCAGCTTCATTAAAAATTAAATTAACTCAACAATTTTAAAATGTTGATAAATATTTCTAACCATCTTAAAATTAAATTCAACCACATACATCCTATCAATCTACCTTCGTGGTCTTTTTCAATGGCCCAAGATCCGTGGCATTTATAAATTCTCTTTCTTCTCTTCATCTTGCTCAAACCTCTGCATTTAGTGTTGGGACGACATTTTCGTGTCCGGATCAACCAGCCTCCATCTCCCTGAACCCAATCCGCCCACATTTCCCAGTCTTCCGGAAAGTTTTCAACGACATTGTTTTCTAAAAACAGGTTTCAATGTTTCTCTTTCATGATTACAATATAATTTAATTCGTTATTATTTTTTAAAGTTCACTTTATAAATAACATCTCAGCTGTAGATAGCTTAGAGTGATTTTTCTGTTTATATGGTTACTTGCAAATGGGTAATGTGTTCGTTGTACTTGTAGCAGTTTAATTTTTTTGGTTTCGTGTGGTTTAGCCTCAGTAAAATATGGTATGACGTTACATAGCATTACATAATATTACAGAGTATTACATAACATTACATAATATTACAGAACGTTAAAAAACCTTACATAAATTGGAAAAAATTCTACCAACCTGTCTCGTCAGTATCATAGGACCATTCTTCGAACTCATTGTTTTCCGACTCGGGAAATCCAACGTTGGCTGTTGTATAATGTTAATTATTATAATTCGAAATAATTAAATAATTTTATTAATTTTATTAATAATAATTATTTTAATTATTATGGTTGTTATATGTCGAAAATTGTGAACCTAAACCAATTCAGCAAGCAAGATACATTGTTTTATCTAGTCAAAAAAAGTTTTGTATAGTGGATATTTAAAATTTGAAATTACAAGATTTAGTTTTTGAGTTTTTTGAGAATAATTTTGGGGGATTGGATTTCAAATCGGAAATGTTAGTTTACATTTCAAGCAATTTGAAAATCAAAAAAAAATTAAATGATAATTTGAATTACTGTTAGAAACGGTCGCAGTGATTGTAATTCTTTCTGTTTCAAAGCCATCGCAGTAGTCACTATCGCTGAACGTAATGCATTTTCGCGATCGAATCTGAGTTTAAAATGCTTTTTTAAAAATGGATTCAAAAATATTTTTATTTAATAACGTAGAAATTTGAATAAAAATTTGTCTGATCGGAGATTACGCAGAGAAAATGTCACACTAGTGTTTTCTAAACGGAAACTGTCAATCAATTATGCCTATAATTTATTACTTGAATAAAATTAGTTAAATCAATCAATATGTAAACTTCATAACAACGAAAATAAGTGGTTTTTAACCAATCATTAAATGTAAATGATGGCAAAAAGTATTTTCCCACTTTGGTGTTTGTGTTTGAGCCTTCCTCCACGGCCCACTCGCTCCATTCCCCCCAGACTCCATGGTTCACAATAACCCCCGTTGAGGGCAGGCTAGGAGGTTCTGGCTGAAAATCTTGCACAACGCCTTCCGCTTGTCCTGCACCTGATTTTTTAAAATATTTGGGCACTGATTGTTTTTGAATTCGAATTAAAAGATTGTATGAGAATAATCTTTTGATCTTGATACTAACTCGCGACAGCCGTATCAGATGTTTGAACGGTTCCTCCACCAGACGTCTGGACGGCACCACCACCATCACCACCACCACCACTACTCACAACGGTTCCTCCGCCATCGCCACTACTGACGCTACCACCACTAGTGCTAACGCTGCTGCTGCTGCTACTGCTGCTGCTGCTGCTACTAGCACCATTATAATTAGATTCACTTAAACTTCCACCATTGTAAATTATCATCGTCGAGTTGGAGTAATATTGCAAGTTGACCCCACTACAACCTGGGTTTTTGGTTTAATAAAATAATAATTTATGAATAATGTAGAAGAATTGCATTTAAGACCATCGTAGATATAAATGTTCATGAAGATAGCACGTATTCAGAGCTGTTAAGTTTGTATGTTCATCTATAATTTCAATGAATCACACCAGAGAATTATTTATGGCATCATGTAGAAATTAGGATAGTTAATGTTTCTTTCATAAAACGTTTCAAAATAAAATTCACTACCCTAAACGAATTTAAATTTTAGGAGATAATTTTTAAGAAATAACTCACCGAACGTTTCTTCATCGAGGCAAGCTCTGGATCTTGTGTAGTTGTCCGCCGAACCAGCAACTGCAGTCCAGGAACTCCACTCCCCCCAAGTCCCATTCCCGTAGTAGACAAATGTCACTGGGAATTCCAGGAAAATTTGAAGAAAAAAAGTTTTTAGGATTTTATTCACTTCTATCTCATTGCATCATTTTAAATCAATCAAAAATTTTGGAAAATATGAAATTGGGCCATTCTAAAGCAATAAACTATGGATTGTTAATAAAACAGTGCTATATATTATTATTATGATTATTATTATTTTTATTATTATTATTATTATTATTATTATTATTAAATCTTCTCACCATCTACATATTCTAAGTCGTAGCCATCGCAGCCGAGCGCTTCATTTATGCATTCCCTCTGCCTCTCACTTTGGCCATCCGTGTTGTTGTACCACGCGGACCATTCCCCAAAGCCAGCATCAGAGGCAGTGCTTGTGCCTGGTCGAAAGGTGAATTCAAATTAAAATGACTGATATGTTAATTGATTAACTGATTGATTGACTGATTAATTGACTGACTGACTGATCGATTGATTGATCGATCGATCGACTGATCGGTTGATTGATTGATGGGTTGATTGGTTGATTGACTGATTGAATGAATGCTATTTCGAGTTTTTTTAAATAAAGACTATGGATTGTTAATAAAATTAAAAGCATTTTAACTTCATTTCAAATTTAAAAACTCAAGCAACTTCATCATGAAAATATTGACAGTGATTTATTTTCTCACTGATGTAGAGTAAAACGAGACTGCCTATAATGGATAAGCACCTCTGCATCTTGAACGTTCTGCTGACAATCTGCTTTCACAAGAAATTTCAAAACAAAATTCTTTTAAATGGTAATTTATCGATAAATCAATAAAATATTTTTTAAAAATGTTAACTATGAAACTTGAAATCATTAATTGAACAAAAATTCTCACACCTTTCAGACAGAAAAGATCTAAATTCCAAGCAAAAATTTTTATTCGACAAAATTTTTTTGGTGAAACTAGCCAGCGTTATGAACCAGTAGTAGAACAATAATCTCGTTGTATTTATAATCTTACGCCATCGTGTTGACGGCCACATGTCCCAGCAGGTAGATAGGTAGTTAGGGACTAGTTGAGTCTGAAAAAAACGGTTCACCAGATGTTTGGCTTGTTGTTTTCGCAGGGTATATACCGTTATACCTTTACAAGTTACACCTAAACTTGTCTGTATATACTCTAGATACCCCAATACACACGTGTTTATGAATGTGTTTAAAAATTCGATATAAATAAATAAATACATATATATATTATATATATTATATATACACACGTTTGTAGTTTGTATGTATATATATTTATAATAATATATAGAAAAAAAAATTTATAATAATAATAGACATGAAATCACGAACGAGCATCCTTAAACATTTTTATAAAGGCGCGTTCTTATTAACTGACGATCTAGAGGTACCGTAAACACGCATTCACACACGCATACACACACAAACACACACACAAACAAACATTCCCACACACAAACAAACATTCTCACACACATACACATGCACACACACGCGTATATAAATTTTTTACGTATAGTAAATATTAACGTAATCATCATATCGTCATAACTAATGAATTGTTTGATCACACATACATTCACTCACAAACACACCACACACACACACACACAAAACACCACACACACCACACACACACACACAAACATACATACACAAACACACTCACATATATATATATATATTTATATATATATATATTTACAAACCTAATCATCATATCATCATAGCATAACTAACATAACATAACATTACATCGTCATAACTAACGATTTAGTCATAATATATAAGCAGGTACTCGCATGAAATGTACGTGAGCTGTATAAGTTACGTCAGAGCGCTGTTAACAAAGTTGTTTATTACAATTTAAAATCTACTGACGATGAATACAATCAATTATATGGCTATTTTATGTCGTAAGTTATTGAAATAATTTTTACCCGTCTACCTACCTAACTACAACAACTACTACTACTAGCTACTACTACTATTACTACTACAACTAATACTGCTCTTACTACTACAACAACAACAACTACTACTACTACTACTAATACCATTTTTACTACAACTATTGCTATTAAAACAACTACTACTACTGCTGCTACTACTACTATCTAATACTACCTACTATTACTACTAGCTAGAGGCATAACATGTTTATTACTACTATTACAAAAAAATTGTAATCTTACCTCGTGTTCATCGTGTTCATCGTGTTCATCTTACCTCGCGGAGCTCTCGCCTAAGTCAGCTTGTATAAATTGTCATGATTTTTTCTCCTGGCTGGTGAATATTTTTTTTGCCTACCTGTAAGTTGTTAAAGGTTATCTAGTATAACGTTAGTTAAAATGGCAATAATAAAAGTAATAATAGTAATAATAATAGTTATGATAATAATAATATTAATAATATTATTATTATTAATGTTAATTTTTATTCACTCATTCATTCCTCGTCATCATCATCGTCGTCACCATCACTACTCTTATTATCATTTTATGTATTCACTATTAATATTATTATTATTAATAATTATAAATTATTATTTTATTAGATTTCATTATCCTCATTCATGGCCAATTGATGGTCATTAACGATGAATCATTCACGTAACATATCACAAGTCGATTATTGCTTATTTTTTTTATCGGTTCTAATTTGCCGCGCATTTAAATGTCGTCTGATTATTCATTCGTTCGTACGTACGTAGATAGATATATGGATTGTGAAAATAAAAATTTTACAATTAAAAAGATTGACAATAACAAAGGGAGTGATGTCGGCCATATCATTTAGGTGGTGTAATGGTTGAGACGTCTGGCCCTGCTGTTGCGGTGACCTGGTTCGAATTCAAAAAACGCATGCAATTTGTGTAATGCCTGGATTCAACCAAACAAACAAACAAACAAAGAGACAAACAAAAAGACAAACAAACAAACAAGCGAACAAAGGAACAAAGCACCAACTCCTTGATTCGTTAATCCAGAAGTCTTAGATAAAGGAAGATGATGTCACTCAGAGGTTTGCAAAATTTCTCTTCGTGATCGGCGGGGGAGATTTATCTGGGTTCGAACACGGTCACTGCAACACCAAGACCAGGTACTCTAAGCACTACACCATCTAGCCAGCCAAATTTTATATCACATTATAAGTAAGATGTGTACAGGCAAGGCACCATGTATATGTAAATCCTTCAAATTTTTTTTACTTTTATTTATAAAACATACTCACGTTCATTAATTTTATTTCATAAATTTGTTTTTATTTAAAAAATATAATTGAAAATAATATTCTGAAAAATAAGGAAAAAATATTAAAATTAATAATAAATATTAAAAAAAAAATACAAAAAAAACAAATAATAAAAATGTTAATCGAAGCTTGAATCTTTAAAATGTATCTCATTTGAGAAATTCCCATGTTTGTTTTTGGCTCTGGGGTTGGCAGTTCCTAACGAGCAGGTTATATTTATTTTTGGCTGCTTCTCTGTCATCCAACTCGATACATCTCTCGCCATCATCATCAGCATCATTATGGTTATTATTATTATTGTTGTTGTTGATGTTGTTGTTGTTGTTGTTTCTGTTGTTGTTATTGTTGTTGTTAATATTTTTCTCATCTTTCGCGTATTTCACTTTTAACTGATTCGTGATCTGGATTGGTTTTGTGATGAATTTATGTCAAAAAATGATTTTTTGTCCTCTACCAATGTTAGTATAAAAGTTACTTCACTACTTATTACTACCACCATTGTTATTAATAATATAAGTATTATATTTATAGTCAAACTTTCGTGCCACAAAGATTGTACTATCCACACCACACGACACGTTTTTATACATATCACACACACACACACACACACAAACACACACACACACACACATGACGCAATAACAACGCGAGAAATTGCACTTCTAGCGACTGAGCTAACTCCAATTATTACCGAGCGGACATGATTGGATCAACTAAATTTGATGTCAACCACCTACCTGATCGTGGAGAACTTTAAGAATGTTCTTCCCGTCACAGCTATCCATCTAAACTAAATTTGATGTCAACCACCTACCTGATCGTGGAGAACTTTAAGAATGTTCTTCCCGTCACAGCTATCCATCTGCAAGTTCGATTCCTCGTTCAGCTTGTGAGCTGTCAGGCATTTGGCGTCTTTTCTGATTCGCTCTTTTAGGTCCAGTGAAAATATCTGTTCGTCGTTTAAAAGCATTTTTTTGTAATCATTCATCCAATTTTTTTATTTGATTTTTGATTTGGAAATAAGTTCTCATTTTAATTTACCAGTTAACAAAATTATTCGCGAAATATATCAAAACGTAGTCTGCTGAGCAAACAAACATAAATAGTACAACAAAACAAATTTAATTTAACAAAAAACATGATTAATAGCTAAAAAGTCAGAAAAAATTAACATAATTTCTACATTTTTTGAAAAAAAGACAACAAAATAAAAATAAAAAACAAGTTGCCCAAAAAAACCTGTGTGAAAGAATTATTTCCTTGATAAGGGAATGCTTTTACGATGTAGGATCCCAGCGAATCATGAAGACCCATCGTATCCCAACAAATCTTTAGGGAGGTTGTTGAGAGGGGGTTTTTAGACGAAGAGGAGGTGCATATCTGTTTGGAGGTGGAGTTTTTCGTTGGTTTAATGTTTGTTTGTTTAACTTGTTTTTGTTTATGTGTTGATCTTTTTTCCTTCTATTATTAAATTTCATTGGTTAGCATTTCTTAAAAATATCACCTACGTTTACATCAACTTATCCAATAAACATACAATTTATGTGATAGGCGGGGATCTTTGCATTTGAACACAGTCACTGCGACAGTAGTGTCAGGCATCTTAACCATTACACCATCGCGTCGCTAACTGCGTAACCAACTATCACTTACTAACACTTCCATAAGCAAGAACATTCTCATCAAACACAAACAGCTCTGGAAAGACATTATCCAAGAACCACTTGAAACTTTTGCACTTCAAATCTTCCTTGAGTTTTAGGCGACTTGTCAGGTCACCGGCATCTTTTTCCTGCAAAATTGTTTTAAAAACGTTTCCACAATTATTATTTTGGCATATAGAATTATTATTCATATTTTCATCGATATAATGAACAATATAATTAACTGTTTAGACATTGCATCATATGATATGTGTGTGTATATGAATTTAATTAGAAAATTTCTAACAACAATTCTAAAACAATTCAAAAATATTCACACAAATACTCTAAAACAGGGGTGGGCAAACTTTTTGTTTTGAGGGCCGCAATGAAATCTAATTTACCTTTGAAGGGTTGTATATGTACTTAAATAGCAAATTTTTTTGAACCTGGGGAAAATTTTTTAAGATTTTTGGCACCATTTTTTGGTTTTTGGTCATAATGTCTGGCTTTCTTTGGCAAACAAGGCCACGCGGGTCGCATAAAATAGCTTTGCGGGCCGTAGTTTGCCCACCCCTGATTTACAATTTTCGTTTTGAGATTAGTATAACTAAGCTACAAAAGAGTGGAAGGCCCTTAATTATCTTCTAAAGGTCTCCAATTATTTTGAAGACTCTAACAACTATTTTAATTTTTCATTATCTTAGATATATTCATTGTTAATAAGATAATAATAATTTGCATCTAGAATAGTTGGCTTCTTTTTATTGTTTTTAAACATAGAATAATTTATTAAAATTACGAAGTTACGCTATCTTTTTACGGATTATCCTTATTTTGAGGATGTCCCGCTGCCTGTCCTACACTAAATTTGACCCTGAATATTTATAACATGCCGAAAATGTTAAATAAAATTTAAAATATTGAACTTCCAACTTTCAAGTCAGGTCTGTTGAGATAGAATATTCTCTTGTAGTCATCCAGCCAGACCTCAGCCACTCTTTTCAGGTTCAGACTCAAATCTTTGTCTGAATGTGTTGGTTATCAGTGAATTGTAATTAGTAACAAATGCTACAATATATGATAATTGACTATAAGTATTCAAAATCATTAAACCTTCATAAGTTTGTAAATTTTTTCTGGAAAATTATTAACACGAGGCAAGCAAATGTGAAACTTAATTTGAGACTGAGCGTTTCAAATAAACAATGTGATGTATTATGACGAATTCAATTTTTTATTAGTTTAAAATTAAAAAAAAATCAATAAAAAATAATTTAATATAACAAAATTAAGGATAAAAAAAACAAGCCATAATTTCATAATTAAATTAATTACAACACAAACTAATGATACTATCCAAACGAATAATGTTATGGTCTCAATCACACGCACGGTCTGTTTTGTAAGGGAACTGATGCCTGTACATGTGGCCAACACGAGAGCAGGGGATAAACTCCAACGTGCCACCACACCGCCATATCTGTGCGAGTGTATCAAAAGTAATTATAATCATAATTATCATCATAATTATAATAATTATGAATTATAGTTACTTTAATTCAAATTATTATATTCATAAACATGCACACGCACACATATACGCATATATACACACACACCGCACACACACGCACGCACGCACAGACAAACACGCACTTACAAACCCTCAATGATATTTCAACATTTTCTCCACCCCAGATGTTCATTCCTTCATCGTAGCCCCCCAACTCGAAGAAGAACTTTCTGTCCATCGCAAACAGACCCCCTGCCATGGCGGGTGATCTAGTCAGTAGGGAAAAAATGGCGATCTTGGTGTTATCTACATCTTATTTTGTATCTTTTGTGTCTTATTTTGTATCTTTTGTATCTTATTTTGTATCTTTTGTATCTTATTTTGTATCTTATTTTGTATCTTTTGTATCTTATTTTGTATCTTTTGTATCTTATTTTGTATCTTATTTTGTATATTTTGTATCTTATTTTGTATCTTTTGTACTTTATTTTGTATCTTTTGCATCTTGTTTTGTATCTTTCGGGCCCGGACACAAAATGAACATTCAAACAATTATCTGAGTTCTGAGGATGTAAATTAAGATTAGAAAATATCGAGGTCGTTATGTTGGTAAGTGCTCTTAATGGATTATTCCCATTTAATACAGAGATTCTACATTTGTTTTAAATTTTATTTAAAATTAAAATAATTAAAATAATAAAAGTTAATAAATGTATTTATTAAGTTAAAAATGCTGGCGATTTTTGATTTTTAAAAAATAACACAAACCTCAAATAATCAGTTGGGCTAGTCATCCTCTGCCATTCTCTTTTTGGCACACTCATCCAATCAAACGCCATGTCCCATTTGAACCCTCCAATAGCTCCGCCCCCATTCATGGAATAGTGGAAAGTGTGGGAGCAGAGCATGTCAATCAGTGGACAGACGACGGTCGTTCTACTTTCTTGTATTCGAGAGAGTAGTGGCTCTAACCTGGCGACGAAAATTAAACATTTGTTTTTGGGAAAACTTTGTTAGTGTGATTCAAATTGGAGAACTGAAAAAAATAAGGCTGTTGTCAAAATTTTTAGTGTTGTATAATAAAAACAAAAAAGAATGAAAAACAAATTTTTATTTATTAAGCCCATCTTAAAATAATTAACTTATTTTAATTTGTTTTAGCCACACCGATCAACCAACCAACCAACCAACCAACCAACCAACCAACCAACCAACCAACCAACCAACCAACCAACCAACCAACCAACCAACCAACCAACCAACCAACCAACCAACCAACCAACCAATCAACCAACCAACCATTGTATCGTAACTTCACAGTGCGCATCCAGGAACACAACCACATCTCCAACTGCATTTTTGGCGCCAAAATTTCTTGCCCTTATGAGACCCAACCTCTTGTCTGCTCTCAGCAATTTGACGATTCCGTCGGGGTAGATTTGCTGTAGGTGGGGTTTGATGACGTGGAGATCTTCTGATGAAGGGGGTTGTTTGAAGGGAGGGGTTAAATTTAACTATATTTCAATTACTGATTCGTTTTGATTAATTTTATTATACATAATAACAAAATTACATTTAATATTTTATTATTCGTAAATGAAAACTAAATAAATTGAAGATTTAATCCTTAAAATATTCTCAATTATAATTATTTATTTCTAATTAATTATTAATTCGAAATAATTTTCAATTTTAATAGATACATGGAACAACATCGGCAATGCTACCAGTTCCATCAACACAATCAGCCGATGCACTCCAGATTAAACTCAAATAAACTAATTCACAAATTTTTTTTCTATAAACCCCTACCTCTATCACTAAAATCATCCACTAAGATAACTTCGGCTAGGTACCTAGGGGGTGACCTGTTTACGACGCTGTGGGCCGTCCTCAAGATGACGGATGGGGCCTCGTTGCAGAAAACAATGATGACACTGGCTTGTGGGAGGTCCTCAGGGTAAGTTAGGGAACTACACCTGTCGTTAGGAGGGGGTGATTTTTTAGTTGTTAATAATAATAATAATTATTATTATAATAATAATGAATAATAATAATAACTGATAATAATAATAGTTTTCGATTTTGTTGTAGTTAATATGTTGTCGTTGTTGTAGTTGTTGTTAGTAATGATAAGGTTGCCATCTGTTGCAGTGGTCTTGCATCGTTTACTTGTCTATCTCAGGAAGTAGTTACAAGAAAAAAAACATTAGTTACTCGCGAAATTGATGTGTTAAAGAATATTAATGTCACTGTAGTCGGCTTGAAAATGTTGATGTCATTGATGTGACGATGGCAAACAAACAAGTGAACAAACAAGCGAACAAACAAACAGACAAAATAAACGAACGAACGAACAAAACAAGCAAACAGACAAATAAACGAACGAACAAAACAAGCAAACCGACAAACAAACGAGCGAACGAACGAACATATAAGGTACCAACTCCTTGATTCTATAATCCGGAAGTCTCCTGTCTAGAGAGATGACGTCACTCAGTGGTTTGTTGAATTTCTCGACTTTAATTATTTCATCAATTGCCTTCCATGGAACGTTCTTTAAATATGCAAAATCACCCCATTCACCTAACATACTGCTGCTGCTACTGCTGCTTTTGTAGCTGCTGACGTTGGTGACGTTGTTGCTGTAATTTCTGTAGTTTTCAAACCTTGCCTGTCTGTAGCGTAATATATTTTCAAATGTATTTAAGCTTGTTTCCTCGTTGACGAGATATTTCGGGTTGATGTAATTTAATGTCTTGTTGTAACTCTGGTTCAGAAGGCTTTTGACGATTTTTTTAATGTCGTTGTTGTTAATATTGCTGGTGTTGGGACGATTGTGACGAATGATTTTTGAGTTGTGGCTGTTGCTGTTGTTAGAGTTGTTAATGTTTTGGATGTTGATGTTGTTGTTGTTGTTATTATTATTGTTGTTGTTAATGTTGTCTTTTAAAATGGCGGTGTTGTAAATTTCTCTTTGGACAATTTCACTTTCGACTCCATCATTGATTCCATTTGCGTCACTTAAATCATGGTTAATGTCGTTGTTTATGTTGTTGTTGTTGCTGCTGATTATGTTGTTATTGTTGTCGATTATGTTGTTGTTGTTGTTATTGTTGTTCTTGTTGTTGATTATGTTGTGGCTGTTATTGTTGATTATAATGTTGTCGTCGTTGTTGATTATGTTGTTGTTGCTGTTTTTGTTGTTGTTGTTGTTGTTGATTACGTTGATGTCATCTTCATCATTTCTCATTTTTTTCTCATTGAAACCAGCAAAAACATCCCTTAAGATATAACTTTCGAGTAAATCTATTTCTCCATTACCAAGATTTTCATCATTTCTTCTGTTAAAATCGACTTTATTCTGATCGCCATCATCACCACCACCATTATTATTATTATTATTGTTGTTGTTGTTGTTGTCGATGTTGTTGTTGTTGTTATTTATAACGTCGTCATCATCAGTTGAGTTGCTTCTTCGGATTGAAGACGTGATGAGTAGGATGATGACGACGACGATGATTGTGAAGATAATTTTCGAGAACCTTCTCTTAATGAACCTCTGTTTTTTTTTGGTGATATTACACGGGAGATGACGATGATGATTGCGATGATGATGATAATGATGTAATGATGATGATGATGATGTAATGATGATGATGATGATGTAATGATGATGATGATGTAATGATGGTGATGATGATGTAATGATGGTGATATAATTATGGTGATGGTGATGACGATTATGATGATAATATAAGGATGATGATGATGATGTAATGATAGTGATGATGATGATATAATGATGGTGATGATGATGGTGATGATGATATTGATACCAAAGATATTGAAAATTATTAAAATATCACTACCGTACCAAACAGCACCAACAACACCTAACAGAAAAAACTTAATCTCTCGGCCAAGATAATCATTAAAACTTACATCACCAACACTTTCAATGCTATTGTTGTCAGTACTACTTAGTACTACATTTGATAATTTCAACAACAATATCTGCTGATCAAATTACCAAAGAATTGCTAAAAATCCAAAATCCAAAAAATATTGATTTTACTGAAAAAACAAACTGACTTTTCTAACTAATGTTACTACTAATATTATTATTACTATGTAGCAATTAGATGTTACCAGAAATACTAAAAATCGCTAAAAAATACGCACAAATAGCAACAGAGCCATCTAACCAAAATATTCATGCTACTCCCAAGGTAGTTTGTAGAAATGGAAAAAATTTTTAGCCAAAATTGGCTGCCTAAAACAATGGGAAATTTTCTATTTAGAAAAACTCATTCGGAATTAACTGCTTTTAAAGTTATTCTTATTTTGTTATTATTATTATTAATTATAATTGATAATTATTTTTGGTTATTATGAAGATAGTAATAATATAATTATCAGAAATAAATAATTTGTGATAATAAGATATGTAGACAACCTTATGAATATTCCTCTGAACAAAAATCAATTATTGACTGCGAATCAGGTGTTATTATTAATAATAATAATAATAGTCATAATAATCATAATAAATATTATTATGATTAGAATAATAATAATAATAATTATTATTATTATTATGAACAGTAGCAGTAGTTTAAGTAGTAGCAGTATCATTATTATTATTATTTTATTTTGTATTCGTACTCGTAAGTCAGCAATTATAGAAATGGTCTCAATGGTTCACTTATAAAATAACAACAACAACAACAATAATAATAATTATAATAATGATAATAACAATAATAACAATAATAATAATAATAAACATCCCATCTATTGTATTAATGGATCTCTGCTCTCTGAGCAACAGATGGCTACCGCACATAGCGTCATTAAAATTATTAATGTTATATTATTATTATCATTATTATTATTATTATTATTTAGTTATTATTATTATATTATTATTATCATATTGCTATTTATTCTTGAATTGGTGGTTAGCACTATTATTATAATAATAATAATAATAATAATAATAATTATTATTATTATTATTATTATTGTTATTATAACATGACGTACAAACATCTAAACATATATCCAAACATACAAACATACATTCAAACATACATTCAAACACACATACATACAAATACACATACATACATACAGTAGTAGTAATAAAAGTAGCAATAGCAATATTAGTAATAGTATCTATTGTAGCAATCGTAATTATAGCAGATGTAATTTTAATGATATATACAAACAAACAAGCATACAAATAAACAAACAAATATACATACAAACAAACATACAGAACTATTATCACATACACACGTACGTACATACATGGTAGTGATGATGATGATGACAAAATTGATGAGGAAGATGATAACATAAATGATGATGATGAAGACGACGAAGATGATGATGAAGTATTTTTAATAGAAATAATGTAATGACAGATGAAATCTATTTCGAAATGATGAACGATGTTCCGATATAATTGACGTTTCGAAAAACGATATCGAGACAAACAAATAATATATATATCATTATGATAAATCTCTTCAAATGACTGATGTCTCGTTACGTTAGAAGTTTCAAAATATGATTCGAGACAGTTTTGATTGACTATCTAAGACAATTTTTTTCAATTCTGCCTGTCAGGCGCTTGAAATAAAAATAATAATTGACAGTCACATAGACTCGCCTATCTTAAAAGGAAGGATTAAAAAATAAATGTGTTTCTGTGGTGTGTGTGTGTAGTTGTTTGTATTTGTGTTTGTCTACGTCTGTTCGTATGATTTTTCTGTCTGTCTGTTTGTGTGTTTGTTTGTTTGTATGTTACAAGCGATAGATATGATTACTATTGCTACAATTGATGCTATTATTACTACTACTACTGCTGCTACTGCTGTTATCCCTGCGACTTTTACCACTCCTAATGTATGTATGTTTGTATATATATATATATATATATATATATATATATATATATATATATATATATATATATATATATATATATATATGTTTGTTTGTTTGTTTGGATGTTTATATATGTGGATGTTTGTATATGTGGATGTGTGTATACGTACGTTTGCATGTCTCAATATGTGTATTTGCAATTTTTACACTCTGGTTTTAAGCCTTAATATTTCGAGAGAATTCGGTTGTCAACTATGTGATTTGGTTGTATGTTTTTAATACTATTTTGGTATGTAGGTATTTTTATGATGGTTATTTGTACGTATTTTTTGTTGTATTTTTAAAAAATGTATTACTATGATTGTTTTCAATTAGGATTCATTACTCTATATGGCACGACATAAGTCACATTAGGAAGAAATATGTTTCCTTTTTAGCAGGTTTTATTTTGTTTTATTGGGTGCAATCAAGCTAATGTGATTCCTATTACATTACATTACGTTTCATTATGTATGTATGTATGTATGTACGTACGTACGTATGTATGTATGTATGTATGTATATATGTATGTATGTATGTATGTATGTATATATGTATTTATGTATGTATCGAGTTTCGCCATCAGTTGAAGGCAGTTCCAAACACTACGGAAACATTGTACTAGAAAATATTGACATCCATCTACATAGATTGCATACCTGGTTTGATTTTGTTGACTTGAAGTACCCCTTTATTAATTTTACAATTTAAACAATTTATTTTAATCTTTAAATAAAAAAATGTTCTACGACAAAAATATAAATAAAAACAGATGAATGTTTAGATAAATAAATTTATTATTTTTAATAAAGAAAAGATATTATTATTTACGCGATGATTTTTTGTTCATGTTGTAAAAAATATTATCTGACCACGGATTTTTAAGGAACGTTACAAAAATCATTTGCTGGTTGACTAATAAAAATTGCAACAAATCTGAAAATGTATTACATCAACTACAGACCTCACATTAATTATATAATTATAAGATTACTAATAATTCTTATTGCAACAACAACAACAACAACAGCAACAACATCAACAACAACATCAGCAGTAGCAACAACAACAACTGCAGCAGCAGCAACAACAGGCAACATCAATAGCAATGACAACAACAACAAATCAGCTAAAAACAACAGCAACAGCCCAACAAATACAACAACAACGGTAACAACACAGAAAAGAAAATGAAATTTTCATGCACGGCTCAAATTCCTCCAAAAAGTACAACCACAACTGAAAAACAACATTTTTTTGACAAAAAATTTTCGGTCATACATCATAATCAACATTTATAAGAATGTTTGGCAAAAAACTCCAAAAAACAACAAATTGGCAACAACAAAACTCACAAACAACAACAAAATACAAAAACACCGATAGTTTTAAACAGAAGAAAAAAGCCAATTCTCTTTGCAATCAACTGAACTAACAACAAAGAACGCCAAACAACAACTACAACAACAAAAACATCCCTATTGTCAAACAAAAATGAAACGTCAAATTTTTTCCCGTACTAATAACATAAGCTATATTTACCTAGCAAAAGTGCTTCAATGAATTATTGAATAGAATATAAAGTAAAAAAGAAAGTCAAAATTAACATCTCAAAAAAATTTTAAATCGTAAAACAGTAAAATTAGGATGTTGAAAATTTTGGCCTGCAAATGCGCTGACTGGCTGTTCCAAATTCTCTGGCATGTCCTTCTGCTATCCCGTGTTAATCTTTTAGGTAGGTTTATGAAGCTAGGTGATTTGAAGTAGATTTTGTGTGTTTCTGTGTGTGTGTGTGTGTGTGTGTGTGTGTGTGTGTGTGTGTGTGTGTGGTGTGTGGTGTAAGTGTTGATTCGCATGTTCGTAAGCTTGCATCGTGTGTGTGTTTCTATGTTTGTATATTAATATTCATCATCATTATCATCTTCATCAACATTATTCTATTATCATCATCATCATCAACAACAACGTCATCGTCGTCATCATCATACTTCCTTTCCATTGAACTAGGCCTACCAATTAATTCTTTTCAGAGCAGTGGAGACAAGAAGGTTCTTATGAAATCCCTCTAAGATTATTTTTACTGGTTTGTTGCCTTTCCATCTTTTCATTCCTTTCTATCTCCCAAATATTTTATCTATCCGTCTCTTTCTCTCTCTTTCTTTTTTTTCTTCTGCTTTCTTTCTCTTTCGTACTCTCTCTCTCTTTTTCATACTGTATCTCTTTTGTTCTCTCTCTCTCTCTCTCTCTCTCTCTCTCTCTCTTTCATACTCTCTCTTTCTTTCGTACTCTCTTTTTCTCTTTCATACTCTTTCTCTCGTTTTCTTACTTTCTTGCGTCTCTTTTTTTTTCTCCTTACTCGCTAAATTTTCTTGCCTTGCCCACTCACATTCATAACGGCGTTATGACTGTCGAAGGCATTCTTTTCTAATCTCATGAAATTTTTTTTGAAACGTATGATTGCGATAAACAAAGACACACACAAGCACTCTCACACACACACACTCACACACACTCACTCTCACACACACAAACACACACACAAACACACACATTAACGTACTTCCTACTATATACACCGATGCATATACACATCAAATGGCCACTAAGCATGGCACTGGCGTCTCTAGACAACTTTACGGGTAGAGGAAAAAAATTTTGAAAATTAAAATTTTTTTTAAAATATTATCGGGAAAACTTTTTGTGTTTGTCACGTCAATTTTTGGTCAATTTTCTCGATTTCTTACTTGAAAGGATCCTTTCCCTGTTCAAAATCTGAGTTTAACTGACTTTTAATAAATTGCTGCTCACAACGGGGACCAGGGCCTGCCGGCTCCTTCCCCATAGATCCGTCACTGCGTAAAAACATATGAAAAACACGCCTAGCGATTTCAATTATTGACAATGCCGAATGGGAGATCTTATTAGAGATCGCTGATTTATTAAATAACATTCATGCATACACGCTACCGCTACCACACGCGATAAAATTACACACACCAATCAACTAGACACGCACACACACACGCGCGCACACAGAGAAACACACACACAGAAACACACACACACAGAAACACACACACACACACATGAAGCAATCAAATTATGAAGGGTAGTAGTTATCGATAGAGTAGAATTGTCAGAAACTGAACATACATACAACGCCAGAGAAAATTGCCTTCAGTTCAGCTGATTGTTTCGTTGCATCTACCGTTGTTTATATCACCGTTTTGGTTATGTTGTTGTTGCGTACGTTGTTGTTCATGCTTATTTTTATGTTTATGTTGTTGTTTATGTTTATTTTTATGTCTATGTTGTTGTTTATGTTGCTTATTTTATATCTTGGCGGTTGGTCATCATCGTACTTAATTTCCACAAAAAATAGCCGCTGATATACACGTACGTGACCTAACATAAACAATTAGGCATGTACAGACACATGAACATCTGTACACAATGTACACACACACACACACACACACACATTCACACACACACACAAATCGTAATTATACAACGTGATTATAGCTTGATACAAAAACATACAAAGAACAAAAACATATACGACGTGCATATGCATACAAATGATTTTTTCAAATTTGACAAATAAACAAAATGACAATTTTTTTAATTTAAAAACATCAGGCTCCGACAGTCGTAGAATGAAAAATGATACAAAAATTGTGATAAAATGAATAAACCAAACGAAATAATTATATTGAATAAGGAAAAAAAATATACCACATATCAAAATAAACAAGCTAAACAACAAAAACAAAACAACAGACATACAAACCACAACAAAACAACACACATACAAACAACAACAAAGCGACACACACACACACACGCAAACAACAACAAATCAACACACAAGCAACAACAAAAGAATAAACATCCAAGACACACTACTACATCATCCTTCCCTGTAGTCACGTGTACCTATGAAGGCTGTCCTGCATGAACCCAAGCAATATTTATGTTCTTTCCAGGGTCACATTACGTCACAGCTACGTCATTCTTTGTGAATATTTGTGTTAATGATCGAATGTTTATATATTTAGTCTTGTTTCGTTGGTATAGACGACAATTTTTAAAAAATTGTATATGTTATTTTACATGTGCTACATGTATCGCATTTTTTTTAAATATTTTGGCATACCACTACCAAATTGTTCTGGTATCTTTATGCATTTGAACCTACTTACTGCAACAGCAGTGACAGGCATCTTAACCGTTATACTACACTGCCCATCTGTATTGTTTGATGTACAGCCAATTAATTCTGTTTTTAACTTTTAAAATTGATTGGATATTTGAATGAAAATTATGATGAGTTTTTACGGCTGAAATGGATTTTATTGTGGTCAATCATTTTTTTTTGTTCAGAATTTCTCTTACGGCTATCCATAAAATCTATCTTTAATGAAAAGTTTTCATGTGAAAAACAAAAAATTTTTTTTTCTTTTAATGTAAAGTTTGAATTTTTTACAAAAAATTTTTGCTAACATAGAGGCTGTAACATCCACACACACATAGGTTCTTGCACAATTTGCATATAAGCTTCTACACGTACACACCAACCTGGATCATCTAGCAATCGAACCCCGTACATTCGTGTATCAGTAGCAATAAAAAATCACTACTTGCCTACCATCTAAGCTACTAACTCAACAATGGATATTTAACATGAGTTATTTTAAACGTCATAATCTATAATGTCAAGTAACTCGAAGCAATGTTTGATAACAGCACTTGCCACGGAGTCAGGTTACGAGTACAAGCTGATCGGAGACCTCCTGCAAAATTATGACCTTCGTGTTCGACCTTCAGTAAGCCACGCCCTCTCCCTGAATGTCACGTTTGGATTGGCTCTTGCCCAAATAATTGACGTGGTTAGTATACTTGCGTTATTGCCATTTAGCATTTACTGGCTAAACTGCCTTTTCTATTATTATTTCGTTAAAAAATAAAATGAAAGAAGTAAAACGAACGAATGAATGAATAAATAAATAATGCAAAACTAAATCTTTCAAAGTGTGAAATAACCACCTACTTCTAAAAGACAACCAGGGAGAGAGAAAGAGAGAGAGAGAGAGAGAGAGGAAGATAGAAAAAGGGAGAGAGTGAATTTAAATTAAAAGAGAGATTTTAAATTAAATTTAGCACCGGTGCACGTTTCCGTTGATCGATGACGTCAGTCATCGGTTGCCTAGAAAACCAGCAGCAGTGATGTTACGAACTGTAAAAATTATTCATCGTATCGGTTTCGGTCATGTCGAGTCAGCTGATTTGTTTCGCGGGACGCCGGTGAAGATTGATGTCGAGTCAGCTGATTTGTTTCGCGGGACGCCGGCGAAGATTGATCGCAAAAAAAAAATAATCGCCTCGATATTTTTGCGCCTTTGTTAGTTTTACAGTTGGTTGAAGTTTTGAGGAAATAAATAAATTGGGATGAATTCAGGTTTCGTCAAATTTTTTTAAAGTTTAAAACTATTTCTTAGAAATTGTGAAAAATATAACCTAGAAAATATTTTCTGCACAAAAAACGTCAACTAACCACCGAGGAAATATATCTCGAAACAATACAACAGAAAGAAAGAATCAAACGAACAGTAAGATGGTGTGATTAATTCCAGATGCAAATTAGAAACCCGGTAGAACCCATGTAAGCGGCGGAGGAAAAGTATAAGAAGGCAAATATGGAGGCTGTTTGACATGTTAATCTAACATCACCCCTGCTAAATATCAAATATTCATACGCATTTTTGTTTGTGCGTGTACGCGCGCTTGTGTGTGTTTGTGTGTGTTTGTGTGTGTGTGTGTCTGTGAGTATTTGATATGTATATTTGTGATTTTGTGTAAAATATAAATTTTTGCGTTTTTTGTGTCTTTGTTACAAACGTCTCAAAATATACCTGAAAATAAAAAATCAATAGATCACACACACACACACACACACATAAATGTAAACACTCACACTAACACATACTTTCACACAAACGCAGAAATACACCGACACACACATACAATAACATAATTGAGTTATATTGCTTATTTTACGCATGCATTTGTATTTATTTGTCTTATTTATTTTTTGTCATCTGACGCTACACCAAATAAGAACCTAAAAAGAATTAATTGAGCTCATTTGGTACAGACACGCAGGCAATTTCTGCTCGTATGTACTGTAGGACTTTATATTGATATTACATGTCTGTGTTTGGTAATTTAGTTTCAACGTTCCAAGCTCTGAAGCAGCAGCAACAGCAGCTGCAGTAGCAGCAGCAGTAGTAGTGGTAGTACTGTACTTTATAGTACATGTCTGTGCTTGGTAATTTGGTTATAAAGTCGTAGTAGCAATAATAGTCGTAGTAGTTGTAGTCGAAGAAGTAGGAGTAGTAGTATCGAGAAGATAATGAATTTATAATAAACACTTTGAAATATATCTATAATTTTTTATAATAATAATAATTATTATTATAAATATAAATATAAATAATATAAAAGAAACAACGTGTATAGAATTGGAAATACCAAATAAACAACGTGAACCTTACACACAGGACGAAAAGAATCAAATTATAACGACGAATTGTTGGCTGAACCAGGTAGGTCGGATTGATTGAATGAATGAATGAATGAATGAATGAACGAACGAACGAACGGACGAATGGACGGACGAACGGACGAACGAACGAATGAATGAATGAATGAATGAATGATTGAATGTTGCGTGTACTATATAGACAGACATAAGCATAGACACACAGACACACACACGCACACACACGCACACACACACGCACAAAAACACAAACACAGGCTTGGATTGACGCAAAGTTAAGGTGGGCGTCGGATGATTATGGAGGCATTAAAGTCATAAGGTTGCCGTTTGAGAGTGTCTGGAGGCCAGATATTGTCCTTTGTAACAAGTTCGTTGACATTTAAAAATCTGTTGCCGATACGTTGATACTTCAGTATCTATTGTTGATACTTCAATATCTATTTTTGATACTGAAGTATCATCTGTTGATACTTCAATATCTATTGTTGATACTGAAGTATCTTCTGTTGATACTTCAGTATTTGTTGTTGATACTTCAGTATCTGTTGTTGATATTTCAGTATTTGTTGTTGATACTTTAGTATCTCTTGTTGACACTTCATTATCTGTTGTTGATACTTTAGTATCTGTTGTTGATACTTCATTATCTGCTGTTGATACATCAGTATATGTGGTTGATACTAAAGAATACAGCAGCAAGTTGCAATATACTCTCGTTGTTTCATTCATTTATACTTCAGTTTAGCATGTCAACCTTTAACTTATTTACACTAATTATAGACTTTTGCATACATACAAAACCATGCATACCATACAATATAATGCAATAAAATACCCTGCTATAGAATTTAGGCAATGAAATAAATGGTTTAGAGGCTTTTAATAAAAAATGGAATATCGTTCTTATCCAGATTTGCCTGCAATTATATAATAAACTTAATTACATTAGTTTGTAAATATATATAATCATATTACAAACATATGTATATATGCCGTATAAGTATAGTATAGTCTATAGTATAGTATAGTATAGTATAGTATAGTATAGTATAGTATATAACACATTGTAGCCTTAATTTCTTAATGAAAACACTCATTCATACAATGTAGTAACTTGTATGGATAAGTTTAAAATTCCGCGATATAACACTGTAACGTTGCAAGTTAACCTTGTGAGCATCGGTGGTTCAGTGGTAGAATGCTCGCCTGCCACGCGGGCGGCCCGGGTTCGATTCCCGGCCGATGCAAATCTTTTTGAATATTTAAAATTTTACTGTTAAAATATTTTGATTTTTTTTGCCGAATTTTTATTTAAATCATTCTTTTTTCGTCTATTTAATCACTCAATAATTCAACCACACAATTAACCAACCAGTGCCGACGTATCGGCCTACAAATCTTCCATCAGCACGAACGTCATCGTGACGTCAGACGGTAACGTCACGTGGTTGTCCATGGTTATCTTCAAAAGTTCCTGTGCGGTTGACGTCAAATACTTCCCATTCGACGAACAGAACTGCACCATGCTCTTCTCCTCCTGGACCTATGACACCTACCAACTGAATCTGCTTCTGGTAAATTCACACCACACACACACACACACACACACACACACACGCACACGCACACACACGCACACGCACACACACGCACACGCACACACACTCACGCACGCACACACACACACACACACCCACGCACGCACACACACACCCACGCACGCACACACACACCCACGCACGCACACACACACCCACGCACGCACACAGCGTATTTTAATAGGTTCTTAACCGTCATTTCAACCAGTTGCTTATTTTAAAATTTATTTTTACTTCTATTACTCTTGCTTCTTTCTTTAATTTATTTCCATAATTTAAAATTTTTAACGCATTCATTCGTTTGAGACGTGCTTTTTGAAAATATTTCGCGACCGTGATGACGCCATTTTTGTTGTTGTCACGTGATGAGAAATTTCTGTCACGTGCCAGTTGCTGGCTGCTACTCTTCGCTGGCGAAGGATTTTTAATTGTCAATCCCGAGAGTGTTAGGTTTAAATATTCATTTGTTGCCACTCCTTTTTGGGAAACGATTTCTCGCCTATTTTTCTTTAACACTATTATTATTATTATCATTTTCATCATTCTAATCATCATCCTTTTTGTTCATCTTCTTCATCATCGTCCTCGCCATTTACAGGATCAATCACCATTCATTCTGATCCTCATCGTCATCATCATTTAACATAACTACCTCCACAAATGTAATCATCATTTTCAGATGTTTGTTAGATAGACATCTTTATAATTCATCATCGTCACCCGACGTCAGATAATCTCTACCACCATCATCATCCTCATCATCATTCTCTTCATCTTCTTCATCATCATCATCCTCATCATCATCACCATCATCTTTCAGGTGGACGACAGCGGCGACGTTTCGAACTACATACCGAACAGCGAGTGGACGCTAGTGAAGCTGCACGTGAGGCGAGAGGTGACCTTCTATTCGTGCTGTGAGGAGCCCTACAGCCACATCAATTACACCATTCAGGTTGGGGTCAGGGTCATTTAAGGCCGGGTCAAGGCCGGGTCAGGTAGAGCTGGAGAGAAGTTGCAGTCTTTGGGACTGGAAAATTGATTGGAATGAAATGAGCTGTGAGAGAAAAAGGTAGAAAAATAGAAACAAATGAGAATAAGATAATCGGAAAGGTAATCATATGATGAAGATAGAAAAAGTAAGAGATAGATAGATAGAATGAAAGAGAGAGAGAGAAATAGAGAGAGAGAGAGAGAGAGAGAGAGAGAGAGAGAAAGAGAGGCTCGTACTCGTACGTATGTTAAAACCAAAACATGATGAATGACACTGAACCTTTAAACATCAAGTATCTAGTGGACTAACGTCGGCATTCAATCGGATGTATGTATGTTTGTATGCATGTATGTATGTATGCATGTACGTACGTATGTATGTTTGTTTGTATGTATGTATGCATGTTTGTATGTATGTATATATGTATGCGTGCATGTTTGTATGTATACAAAACATGTCAGATTCGTAGAAAACCTCTTTTCTACGTTTTCAACATGATCCTTCCGTGTCTCATCATCACATTGGTGGCTTTGTTGGGATTTTACATACCCTCTGACTCTGGGGAAAAAGTGACGAATGATAATTATTTATTATAATTATTATTATTATTTATTATTATTATTAGTAGTAGTAGTAGTTGCTATTAATAAATATATTTATAATTATATATAATAAATGTGTTTATAATTAGTTGATAAATCATCATCATCATTATCATCATCTTCAATTTTGTCATCATCGTCATCATCACATTCCTCATCGTTGTCGTCGTCATCATCATTTTTGTCATCATCATTGTCGTTGTCGTCATCATCATCATCATCATCATCATCATCATCATCATCATCATCATCATCATCATCATCATCATTGTTAAGGTGACCATGGGAATAACGACTTTATTATCGATGACAGTTTTTTTGATGCTGGTGGCTGAAAACATGCCTCCCACTTCTGACGTCCTACCGCTTGTCGGTTAGTTACGTGATGATGATGATGGTGGTGATGATGATGGTGTTGATGGTGATGGTGGTGATGATGATGGTGTTGATGGTGATGATGGTGATGTGTAGTGGTAGTGATAGTAGTAGCAGTATAATCATTAGTTTAATTATTTCGAGGTGATTTCAAAAGACGTCTGAAGAATGAGTCGTGCATTCGACCTCCCATAGCGACAAATGTGAAGTGAGGCGTCTGCAGTCAGAAAGCACATGAGAGGCGCTGCAAAAATTTCGCGATTCGATACGATTCGATATGTAACGATACGATACTATCAGTTACACTGCTTATTATACTGTGATGATACTGGACAGTGCAGTAGTGGCCAGTAGTAATGTTAATTATACTGAAGTTTTTAATAATTACTTTAATATTAAAAATTTATTAAATAATACTTCCAAAAATTTAGTTTTAATAATATAGCAGCAGTAGTAGTAGCATTAGTAGTAGTAGTAGTAATAATAGTGGAAGTTATAGTAATAATAGTAGCTGCAGTAGTAGTGGTAGTAGTAGTGGTAGTTGTAGTAACACAATTATTTTAATAAGAGTTTTTAGTTAGACACGCTGTGAAATGATTAAAAAAAACAACGTGTAGCTGAAAAATTTTTCAGGATTTTTTTCAGGATTTTTTTCTTTTTTCTTCATTTTTTTCATTTCTCCTTTTCTTTCCTTCTTTCTTCCAGCAACTTTCCATCTGTTAAATCTCGTCAAGCAATGCTCCAGCAATTGTGTTGGATGTGCAGTGCACCTCACTGCCAGTATTGGCAACGCAGTGCACATCTACTTGTACGTTTATGTACGAAACGTATATAAATACATGCATGCATAAATACATATATATATATATATATATATATATATATAAAATAAATAAATATATTATAATATAATGAATATAAATAAATAAATAAATAAATAAATATATATATATATATATAGAGAGAGAGAGAGAGAGAGAGTAAATATATATTTAGACAAATAAATGAATAGTGCAAATTAACTTTTATTATATTGTATTTCGTAATTATATATATTTTTAAAGTTATTTATTTGTGAGTTCTATCATTCTTGCCCTCAACGTCTTACGGTTTGAAACATTTACGTAACGCACCTGCCAACAGACGCTAACAGCTAACACACACACACACACACACACACACACACACACACACACACACACACACACACACACACACACATACATACAAACGGCGTATACACGTACGCAAACATGCATACATAGACATGTTGTATACAAACACACATTCAAACGCATACAAACACAAACATACACCAATAAACATTTATAGAAAGACAGAAAGACACACACACATACACACATGTATGCCGGGGTTTGGAAGGTGGTTGAGAAGTTCGGTTTTAGGTATCATGCTTATACAGATGATATCCAAATATTAGTTAGCAATAAGGCAGAGTTACTACAATGTGAAATAATTGGACTCGTCAAGTGTCTCAAAAATATTGAATTGTGGATGTCTAACAATGGTCTTGAAGTAAACCCATTTTTCCCAAAACAAAATTTCTCTCCATCAGGACATTGCAGCAGTTAAAAAACTTAATATCGATTCAGTGGAAATCGATGACGTCAAAATTAGTTTTTGCGATAAAGTAACTAATTTGGGTGGTTCACTGGATTCCAGATTATCAATGCCTGATCATATAAAAATGCTGACAAAAGCATGTTCTTTTCAGATCAAAGAGTTATATAAGGTTCGTAATTCTTTGAAGAAATCTGCCATTCAGACGTTGGCAAATGCACTAGTTCTTTCGAGATTAGATTATTGCAACGGCTTCTTTTATGGGTTGCCTGATAAACATGTTTCTACTTTTCAGTCTATTCAGAATAGAGCGGCCAAGTTGATTGTAGGTTGTTTCATGTATAATCATGTAACTCCAATTTTGGAAAGTCTTCATTGGCTTACTATAAAAAAAGAATTACTTACAAAATAAGTCTAATAATGTATAAAGCGTTACATGGCCTATTACCAAGTTACTTATTAACAAAATAGAAAAAGAATCTGTAATGACGAGTGGCATGAAACTTAGATCAGATGATAACATTTTGCTGGTTGTCCCGGGCATCAATTTACACATCGCATCAAAAAAATTGGCTGTTTCAGGACCGGATGTTTGGAATAGTTTGGCAAGATCTTTCAAATCTAAGGATTTGAAACTGGACGATTTTTAAAAAAACTTGAAAATCTTTTTGTTTACACTTTGATTTCGATACTGAATTGTTTATTTGTAACCGCCATCTTATACCGTACTCTTATAGTTAATTTAATATAGATAATGCTTTTGAGAACTTTTTGATTTTAATTAGCGCTTAATTAAATATTTTAATAATAATAATAATATATACACACACACACATGCACACACACATAAACTACAAAATCGCAGGTCTATACTATGGAATAACGATCGTGATTGTTTCAATGGCAACGGCCATGACAGCCTTTACCTTGAACATCCACCATGTCGGCTACGAGGGGTACCCCGTCCCCAAGTATCTCAAGGTCCTCTGCTTCCAAATTCTGGCACCCATTCTCTGCATGAACCTCTCCAAGTGTTGCCGCGGTCCCGATACTGATGACAATTTTGAGGATGGTTGTGATGATGATGGTGGCGAATGTGGTGATGTTGATAGTCGCAATGTGAGTAGGAGAAAATGGGGTAAAAGTAGCAGGAAGGTTTTGCGCGGTTTTGACGGCAATGAAAATGATGATGGTGATGATGATGAGGATGATGAAGAAGAAGATGATAATGAAGATAATGAATTATGTTGTTGCTACCCTTGCAAAAAGATTTTAAAATTCTCGTCGTCAAAAATAAGTTCAAAGAAAACAAACATCAACAACAACAACAAATACAACAACAAAAACAACGGCAATAAAAGAAACAAACTCAAAACGATTTGCCAACATACCTGTTGTGGCTGTTGTGATTGCTGTCGCAACTTCAACGACTCTACTACTACCGGCAACTACATACAAAGCAGCAGCAACAACAACGCAAATACAACAACAACAACAACAGCCACTACTACAGCTTCCAAATTCCGCCAAGCAACATCTATAAAACACTTCACATCTTCACATACGCCTCAACCAAACCACATACAACAGCCAGACAAAAGTGGCTGCAGTAGTAAAAATACTAGCGACAGAGGTAGTAGTAATAAAGGTAGTAACAAACAGGATAGCAGTAACAAAATTAGTAGTTTTAGTTGTAAAAAACGTTCAAATACTAACTTCTCATTGGTTGAAGAAAACTTTGATGACATTGCTACAAAAAATTCAGCATTTTGCGGGCAAACTTTTAACAACAATGATAACATTTGTGATAGTAACAGTGTGAATTGCGATGGTGACAAACGTATTTACATAGAAAATGATTTATCCGAAGATAATTCATTTGGCGACGTCATGAATGACACCAACAGCGTGTACAATAATCGCGACAGATTCGATTTTACGACCGGTGAAATCAAAAATAACAATAATAACAAAAATAACTTTAAGAAAGTTGATGACGTCAATAATAGTGGTGAAAATATCAGTAGAGTTTTTGTTTATACAACTACAAACTGCAGCAGTAATGTTATGCCTATAAGAACATCTATGCCCAGGACAGCTGCAACTTCAACTACAAAATTAACAACATCAACAACAACAACTTCAGTTATGACGTTAACAACAACTACATTAACAACAACGACAACTACGACAACTACGACAACTACGACAACTACTACAACTACTAAATCCTTTGTATACAAAACGTTCGCGAAAGCTAGTGCGGCTGCGACATCGGCCACAACATCGTTCACAAAAATTAAGCCGTACATTCAAACAGACTACAATCGAAACATTAACAGCTTCAGCCACAACACCAACAACAACAACAGCATCAACACTATTTCAATCGACAAGCTTACAAACAGCTGCTTAAATAAGACTATAAACTACAGATGTTTATTCAACGGTGATGATGACGACGACGACGAAGAAGATGATGATGCTGTCGTTGGTGATGATGGTGATGTCTTTGTCGTTGTAGATGATGATGGTGGTGGTGATGATGATGAACAACGTTCAAATAACATGTACGCACGCAAGGATTCAAAAAATGTTTCCCGGAAACGTTTAACCAAAGATCAAGAAAATTGGTCTTGCGGTTATCACCATCATCAACGCCATCATCTACATCATCATCAGCAGCAGCAGCAATATTTCCACGAGCAACATACAAAACGTCAACAGCAACGCAAGCAACAAAAACAAAAGCAGACGATGAAAGTCACTAGGAAAGATTGGAACCACATCCTCCAAACACTATCCCTCCTCCGTTCATCAATCCAGGCCCACAAAGTCACCGTCAAAACGCTGCAGAAAAAAGAAATTTTCAAAAAAGATTGGCAGAAGGTGTCGCTTGTGGTCGACAGGACGCTCCTAGTGGTCTTCACCCTAACCACCCTCGTGATCACTGGCTCCATGCTGCTGCACGCTCCAATGGCCAGCGATTTTGTATTTGGGAGTAAGATGGATAAAAATATGACGCAAGGGTTGCCCAAGCCTGAGATTGAACCCGCTACTGTTGATGTAGATGGTGAAAATGATGAGGCCGATGACTATGAAGATGATGGGGGCGTTATAAACGAAGACTATGGCAAAGGTGATGGTGAAAATGAGAAGTTTAAAACGAGTTTAGGCGATCCATATAACGATATTAAAAAAAGCAACATTGATAGAAATACTTCGTCGAATAGTAATAATACTAGCGCGGAGAAAATTAATAAAACTTCCGAATAAAAGATAGTGCGGCTGGCTGGCACTGCTACTGCCGCCACCCCTACTACTACCGCTACTTCTAGTAATAATAATAATTACTACAATAATAGCAATAAAAATACTAACCAACTATAATAATAATAATAAGAACAACAACAGATGCAGAACAAGATATACTAAAGCAAAAATTAGCGACAGCTAAGAAATCGAACGATAAAGAGCGATTATGTGGAAAAAGGACAAAACGAGAACAATGACAACAACTACTACTGCTGCTGCTGCTACAACTACTACTACAACAACAACAACAACAACTACTACTACTATTACTACTACTACGAATATTACCATTACTACTACTACTACTACTACTACGAATAATAATACTACTACTACTGTATCAGCAACAGCGATATCACCAACAACAACATTAACATTAATTGCATGTTTATTGGCAACAACAATAAAACAACAACAACAGTAACTACAACAACAACAACAACTACTACTACTAATACTACTACTACTACAACTACTATAACATCAACTACTACTACTACTACTTTTGCAGCTACTTCATCAGCGACAACGGCAACGACATCGTCAACAACGGCAGCCTTAACATTAATTGCATGTTTATTGACCACTAGTGGCGCAAAAAAAGTGAACAAGGCGTTAGCGTCACCTCCTACAATGTCTTTAAATAAATTAAGACCCTACGACGACGACGACAACAACAACAACAACAACAACAAAATCAACAACATCATCAACAAAAACAACAACAACATCATCAACAACAACATCAACCATAGAAACATTAAAAACAACATCAACAACAACAACATCAACAACAACATCATCAACAACAACATCAACCATAGAAACATTAAAAACAACATCAACAACAACAACATCAACAACAACATCATAAACAACAACGTTAACCATAGAAACATTAAAAACAACATCAACAACAACAACATCAACAACAACATCATCAACAACAACATTAATGTTATGTTAAAATATTAAATATTTTATGCTATAAAGTTATGCCAGGTCGATAAAGTTATTCTTTGCAGTTATATTACCACCAAAAAATCAATATCTTTCAAAAAGTGGGGCTGACAAAAAATTTCATGTGACATAGGAATGCAAGTGTTTGATTGCAAGCTTCAAAGTGTTTCGCCAAAGACCATGTTTAAGAAAAATCCTTGGTGGAAAAATCCTCGTATTTGGTGGATTTTCTAACTCTGGCTCTCTAAATAAAGCGCTACATTAATATTATCACCACGTGATGTGTAGATTACGTCATACTTATTACTTATGTTTCATCAAACTTATTTAGTTGGATCATCGTTGGAAAACAACGTTTTATGGGGATCATTATATTTTAGATCGTCACAAGTGGTTTACCATAATAACCATCATGTATTGTTTGTTGTCTATAAATGTATATTTAAAGTTATTCTCGTGAAAGAGATATACACAGTAAATTAGCGGCAGGATGTATCAAGATATACCATGATATATCAAGTTGTTGTTGCTCTCGTGAAAGAGATATACACAATAAATTAGCGGCAAAAACAATAAACAAGCAACAAACATACAGACAACATAAAAGCAACAAACATACAACACACATACAAACAACAAACATACAACACACATACAAACAACAAACATACAAACGTACAACAAACAGCAAGCATGCAAACACAACAAAATAATTTTGAATTAGTCAACATGCACACGTACAAGCGCATCAATCAGTTTCTTCAAGGAATAAACAAACCATCATCTTAATTCTTGAAACTATTCTGCAGTCCACTTATGGTGAAAAAAGAAAACTCAAATATCATTTTAATAATTGATATGAAAAGTTTTTTTTGATATTTTGGAAAGATTTGTATCTTTCCAAATTATTATTAGTATAATTTTAATAGCCAAAATTAAAAAATTGTATATATGTATGTATGTCTCTTGCTTTCTCTCTCATATCTATGTTTCTCTCTCTCTCCTCTCTCTCTCTCTCTCTCTCTCTCTCTCTCTCTATCACTCTCTCTCTCTCTCTCTCTCTCTCTCTGTATGTGTGTGTGTGTCGTTAAGAGAAAAAATCAAACAATCAAACCATTGTCGTTACTCTAGTCATCATTGTTGTTGTTTAATGTATATAACTACTTATTTTAAATTGCTTGGGATGTTGTTGTTATTAATATCTTCACTTCAACAAGGAATGACGTCACGAGCAACAAAAACAAGAAACGCCGACAAGAAAACAACAACAACAACAACAACAAAACATTTACCTGTAACATTGTGAATAATGCGAAAAAAATTTAAATTTTTTGAAACCAAGAAAAAATTTCTTGATCTCAACCGAAAAAAAATAAAACTTTTACAAAATAAAGACTAATAAAATGCATTTGTTCTCCGCTCAAACAAGGCTTTTTTCGACTTTTTCGACTTATTTTTCTAGTTTTTCTTCCTTATGTTTCGTTTCGTGCCGTGCGCTGTAAGGAACACTTCATTCATTTGAGATTTCAAAAAAAAGATTTATCTCCTATAAATTGCATGTCTCTCCTTAGAGTCTTTGAAAAGTTAGTAAAGGATTTTTTTTTATTTGATTTTTACATTGTTTTTTTTTGTTTATTTTTTGAAAAATAGGAATAATAGTATTTAAAAGTTTTTTATTTGCTATCTAATTTTATTCTACCTTTATTAATGAATATTTAACCACAATTAAAAATAAATTTTGAAGAGAACAATGACACCAGAAGAATACCAAAGATATTAGAACAGAAGAAATGATATCTGGGCAAATCCATCGCACTGGATTTCAGGCACCCTCTGTTCTAATTCGTCACGTAATCGATTTCAAATAATGGTTTTATTTAACAGTGATTGTGATTGGTTGATCTCTGAACGGCCTTGACAATTGTGCTGAAGTATATTATTTCAAAAAATTAATTCAATTGAATAACCAATTAGCAAACGCATTCCATGCCGTGTCATTCAAAATTATGATTACATGTTAAATGCTTTGGTTATCAATTGATAATGAACCAGTTCCGACGTGTATAACAAATTAATGTTAAAAAAAATCAATACATCTTGTATATAACGAGGTGATGTAATGGTTAAGAAGCATGGTCTTAATGTTGTAGTAACTGAGTTCGAAAGCAAAAAAAAATAGCAGCCACCAATGCGTGTAATGTGTTAATCGTGTGTGTTGAATTATTTATTGGGGTGGTAGTAAATGACTGTGAAAGTAGACGAATTCAATTTTAAGGCGTGGTTGAAAAATTGTCAGCTGCTCAAGAAGTTTTAAATCGGTGGCTATTGATTGGCACAGTGAATAAGTTTGCAAATTTTGAGGTTATGACTGAAATGTTTGGGTAAAATGAGATTGAAAAATGTACGCCTTGGTTACATGTTAATGAGTCTACAGTTGAAATAGCTATGGATCACTATGGTTTGGGCATAATCGACAAAGTTGAACCGTATTTATAATAGTCCAAAATTTAAAAACATGTTTCTTTTTAGAGCAGGATTTATCAGTATAGTCAAATATTGGTAGCAAAAAACGATATGAAAACGTTGTGAGCAGTATTTTTAATAAAACTCAGGTAAACATTAGTTTTTACGCAGAAAAACTTTGTTTTAAGAGAAAATTGACAGACAATCAACGTTAAAAGCCAAAATAGTTTGCCACCAACCTTATTTTGGATACACCCTCGCAAGTTTGGTTAGTTTCTTGGCTCTCACGATTATGGAAAAGATCGGGGCGGTCTTGCGTTTACTGATGACCATGCACTCTGTTTTGTTGTACTTCTATAACTAATTCTATAGATTGAAATTTCCGATAGCAAAATGAAGCGATCAGTTAGATTGTTAAAGGTTAAAATCAATCTCTCATGGGCACCTGCTTCGAAGGTTGCCGTGAGACCTTACCATGGCAATGAAGTTGATGAAGAAAATGGTGGATAAAACGATGAATAAAAAAATTGTTTTTTTGTTTTTGCAACAACAATTTATCATTCATCTGAACGAAAGATATTTTACATTCTATAATTCGCTCGTCAATTCGTCAATCAATTTGATTTTCTCAATCGTTTATTGACCCAAGCAATCCATTCTGCTTACATTTTACTTACTCTTTCTTTAGTTATTAAGATACCAAGTATAATTTTTCAAAATTTAATGAGAAAAATGCTTAAAAATGAAAAACGGATGAAGATGATGAAGATGATGATGATAAAGTTGTCGATAATAACGATGAGAAAGACGATGATGATAAAATGAGATTGATAATGAATGTGATAACGATAACGAAGGTGATATCAATGACGATGATGACGTTAATCGTGATCATTAAGATGGTGAATAAGTTGATGATGAACTTGGCGACAAATTAAAAAGGGCCTGAAAATTTCGACAGTTGACTAGTTTCCAGTGACTATGGCAATAAGGTTGAGAATGATCATGATGAAAAAACATTAAGAGAATAATATTTGTGGCAGTTAGTTCTTATTTAAAAAAATTATTTTTAAAAATATCTCCTTTTTCATTGTCGAAGAAAATTATATTGCATTTATTTATTTTCGCTAATCATTTCATCAAATAAATGTTTGATTTTTTCAATCATTAACGAATCAATGCAGATTTATATTATTTCTTACTGAAATACTATTCACTCAGTAATTTATATTTAGCTATTACTTCGTACATTTGCAATGTAAAATATGTATGTAGTATGTACGTGTGAGTATATGAAGTTGTGATGAGATAATTTTCTATATAAGCGCCAGCGAATAGCGATAAATTACATCCGAAATTGTCTAGCAAGACATTCCTACTACTACTACAACAACAACAACAACAACAGTGAATATCTTTGTGAGATATCTGAGAAGATGATGATGAAGCTGATGTTTGTGGCCATGGTGGTTGCGCTGAAGATGGCGATGGTGCCCGCACAGTCTTCTGGTAAGAAATGGAAATATATTTTTCTGCTTTTATTTGCTGATGTTCGGTGATGTTTTTGAATAATTCAATCAGAGCTATTCCTTATTTATATTCTTGTCAGTTGCGCGTTTTAATTTTGTTTCATACGATAAAAAATTTTTTATTCTATAATAAATTTATTTAATATTTTTAATAGTCTGAATTTCATGTAATTTTCATGTTACAACCATAATATCTTGCTCACTGATTTTTCGAAAAATAATTTTTTTGACTGGCAAACAGCGGACTCGAAAACAGAGATATTAAATGATTTAAAATACAATAAAAAAAAAGAATTCTACTGGAATCAATGCCAAATTAAATGAATTATCTATCTGATTATAAAATTCAACAAAATGAACAGGTTGCTCTGCTTCTAATTTTGAAAGATTTAAATTTGCGATGAACGACTTTTTCCAGCGTTTGAAAATTACAACTGATTTTCCAAAAGATGAGGATTTTCAGGATACAAAAATTACAACTGATTTTCCAAAAGATGAGGATTTTCAGGATCTCTTCAACATGTATGAAACATATTCTGCTGCATATAAATGGCCTGAACACAGTGGTATTTGGTTTTTAAATTTTTTAATTTTATACCTTCTATTGAATTGATTGTGTCGTTATGTTAGGCCATCAATTTGAAAATATTTTTGAATTTGCATATGTAAAGCATTGTCTAAGACTTTACAACGTGTACTGTACAAGCACTAATTCTATCACGTGTAACATTTTAAAAAATAAATCTGAAAAGCTCATCTCAAAGAACTTAACACACATTTTAAATATTAATAGCATCCTAATCAACTAAATACCTTGAACGATTTTTTAAATAATTCATCCAATTCATTAACAGGCAGCACTGATGATACAGCTAAATTTTTACAAGGATATTTGAACGAAGTCAAACAGAAATATGGGTTGAACTATGACACTTCGGATGACAATCTTCTGAATATCTACAGGCAAGTGGCGGAAGATTACAGCAACCATTTCAATAATACAAAAGAAATGATCATCCCGGAAACTAGTTGTTGATCAGAGGTGGCGAAGATAAGAAATGATTTCCAGATCATTCTAAATCAGAGAATTTATGACTATAACCTGAAACTTTATTTTAAAATTAATTTCAAATTTTAAATAATATTTTAAAAATTTAACGATTACCTGAAATTTTGTTTCAATAAAATCATTCTGCAATTAATTCTTACGAAGTCTTCTAAATAAATAAATAAAGAATAAAAATTTTAACTTAAAAGAAAGTTTCGTCTAGACAGACTGTCATAAAACCAAAACACACTCCTACACAACATTTTGACCAGTCTTACTATTTATAAATGTTTCTTCCATTGCCACCTACAGAGTTTTTCTGTTTAGAACATGCATTCAACAAAGGTGTGTAAATCCTCTATTTATTTTTCTCGGTGCACTTAAGCCGTAGTCTTGTAACAAAAAATTATTTTAGTCCTTCACAATGCAGCTCTGTCAAACGTACAACTGCTTAAAATTTAACGTTTGTCCTTCAAAGTCTGTACGCATAGCGTACGGTAGTACTTTAGTTTCGGACAGACAGTATTCGAGCCAGGGCATTGCGTCATAATAGCGCAAGACATGGCACTTCTACCAACTGAGCTAACTTGCCAACCGAACTGACAACTCGTGTTACAAAATTTAAAGGCCTTGATTAAGATAAGAAAATAATTAGGAAGAAACTTACACCTTTAAAATATGTCAGTTCCATTTTGCGAGTTTTTGCACAAAATTTAAAAACGGTACAACACCTTAACTACAAAAACCAGACCCGTAAACATTTTCACGAAAATGAAACGTTTCAAAACTATAACATGAAATGAAAAAAAAAACAAACAAACAAAAATAAGCATTCTCGCCAATAAATAAACGTTCATACTACTTCTTCTTTCTACCTCGTACCTTACCCTTTCAGGACATTGGCGACCATCGACCTCCACAAAACCCGATCTTTATCACTTTGTGGTGGTTGAAATGCGGTGATATTCAACAAGTGACTCAAGGACTTCAAGAATGTTGTTCATTGTTGACCGCGATCTCATCTCCCTACAATCTTATTAATTATTTTCAGTCAATTATATATCATGATATAAGAAATTAGTATGCAAAAAGTATACCATCGATTAGACAGACCGAAATTTTTGGTAAATATAAACAATTGACAAGTTTCATTTTCGCTATCTGAGTTTTGCTAAAATTTTAAATTTTATCGTCATTTTTGGTTAAATTGGGTTTTTAGGGATATTTTCGGGTCCCAAATATTATATCTGACCTTAATTAGTATAAGGATCATTACTTTATTTTTTTTAAGCTTTTTTAAATTTGATGCTTAATTTGATTTTCAATTTGTTTAATAAATTTAATTAAAATAATTTTAAATTTTAATTAATTATTTATTGTATTACAAATAGTGATTGTGTGTAATTGTTCTTTCTGGTGATTTATTTATTTATATTTTATATTGTATTAATTTTTTTATGTGATAATGTATATCATTTATTTTATTTATAATTTTATATACAATGAAAATACTGCTTATGTAATTTTGCAAAAATTTTCAAGTTGAACATTTGGTTGCAGTTGAACAGTCATATTTTTTCTAAATAATTTTTCCAGAATAAATTTTCACAGAATTCTTAAATAATAATTAGAATGGATGGTGGTGATGTGCCTGAAAATAATGATGTAAATGAAGATAGGATTTCGAAGGTGCCATCATCTTCATCATCCTCATCTTCATCGTCATCCTCGTCTTCTTCATCATCTTCATCAACTGATGACTTTGTAATCATTGATAAGTACATATCTGATTACGAGGCGGGTAAAATTTCTTATCCATTTATTAATCATTCATTTATCTTATCTGCATATCACATCTCTGTTTCTTTAAAAGTAATTTTGTTTTGTTACATTCAACTGTGTTTTTTTGTTAATTTTGTTAGTAACAGATTGAAAAAGTGATTCTAAATTGTACATATTAATTAATTAATTAACTAATTCAATAATTAATTTGTTAATTAATCAGCTAATTAATTGTTTAACTATTAAAATTTCAATTTTATTAATGTCGATATGCATACATATATACATACTAGATTATTGAGGATGAGGAAGATGAAGACGTCGATGATGATGGTGGATTTGTTAACATTAGTCGAGTAGAGATGTCGTCGAATCAACAACAGCTGCTACCACAACAACCACAGCAGCAGCTGCAACGGCAGTTACTACAGCCACAAAATTCTAGCCTTGAGCGCTTATGTAGAGCACTTGATTCACTCGCATGTAAACGAAATAAATTTTTTTCAAATTTATAAAATTAATTTTATGATAATGACGTCTTACCTCGGGGGGAACTGGGTCTCTGGACGCTAAACGAAGATTGATTGATTGAGTTTTATGATAATGTGAGAATGATGATAATGACGATTACGGTGATAACGAAGATGAAGATGACGACGACGACGATGATGATTAGCTACAGATCCGGAAAAGGATTTTGTGGTAACGGAAGAGGATGATGAGGAAACGGTGGTGAGAAGGTTTCATCTGGCGGTTGGCTACAAAAAGTTGAAAGACCTTGAAAGGTCATTATGCTCTAAGGAACAAGGTTGTGATGATGATAATGATGGAGATGATGGTGATGGTGAGAGTGATGTGATGGTAGTAATGATGTAGATGGTGATGATGACGAAAAAGGTGGTGATGATGATGGTGATGATGATGGTGATGATGATGATGAAGGCAATGACGATGATGGTGTGATGGTGATTTAATGATGATGATGATGATGTGATGACGTAACTGATGACGTAAATTTGACTTGTTCAAGTCATTTATTTACAATTATCACTGAACGCTGTTACCTATCAGGACAAAGCTATTTATTTTTAATGTATGGTATTTAAAAAATCATAATAATAATACATGTACAATCATATGGAGAAACATGTACACATGCACACACCTACACATACACATGTCTTACGCATACACACACACACGTACACACGGACATTCACACACGTACACACGGACCTGACGACAGCTTCCGAGGATTCGAATCTCCCGCCTGACGCAGACGACCGCGTGGAAAGCGACATTTCGAACCTGACGACAGATGACGACGACGACAACACCGACCTGTCGTCATTTTCCCCTGGAGTCCTTGATGTCGCCCTGCTGGAAGGTCAAGGTGAGATTCAGAGGATCTACATCCATCACCCGAATCATAACCTGGATTCTCTGCTTACCTGTCTGGCGGTCGTTGCACTCTTCTTCGCCGTTGGCACTGGAATTGGTCATTACGTTGGTCAGTTTTTTTTGGTCGATAGAAATTTCTTTCCATGCTTTTTGTAGTTCCAGGTGCCACAATGGCCGTCAAATCCACACCACATGACGCACACATTGCTCTTTTATTATCATTACTTATTTCTTTATTAACTGTTAATTCATCATCTTCACCATCTCCTTCATCATCTGCATACATCACCATCGTCGTCGTCACCATCATCGTCATCTTTATCATCATCGTCGTCTTTGTTATCTGTATACATGCATCATCATCATCGTCATCTTCATCGTCATCTTCATCGTCACCATCTTCGTCATCATCATCGTCATCATCTTCTCCGTCATTTTTGGTTTTGCAAAGGATCGACCCACGAAACGTTGATGATGCACGTGCAGTTGGAACGCCTAAGTGTCATTCAGGAGCGTTACAAGTCATGCTGGCAGGAGACCACGATTTTGAGACAACTGCTCGGCTTCAAATCCAACTTTGGGCAATTTTTTCAAAACGGGAATTTGTTGTCGAAAGATAAGGAGCCTATATTTAGTGATGAGAGTGTGTTGTTAGAGGGCGTAAGCTATGCTGATGGAGGTGACGCTAACAACAGTCACAACTACAAGGATGAAGTTGAAGAAGATGATGAAAGGAAGGAGAGGGTAATGACGAAGAGTGCGCATCTTGGTGCAGGAAAACATGACGATGATGTGAGTGATTTTTGTTTTAATGTTTAGTATTTTATTTCATTTTTTTATATATTCTGTTCGTTTTTTCCCATTAAGGTTACTTTTGAAGTCAAGTCGACGAATTCTTTGAAGCCATCGAGTCTTCCATTAATTTCATCTTCATCATCTCTATCACTTTCTTCATCATCATCATCTCTATCACTTTCATCATCATCGTCTTCCTCATCATCGCCTTCATCGTTATCATTGGTGTCAAATGACTTACCTACTGCACTTGAATTGGGTTCACTCATATCGTCATTAGCATCATCATCATCACTTTCATCATCATCATCATCATCATCAGAGTCTCTCTCACCACCACCATCATCATCATCAGCACCATTATCATCATCATCTAGCCAACCTGACCACCGCTTCAAAAACGCCCGCGATGACATCAATTCTTCTCATGACGACGACGATGATGAAGTCACATACTCATTTGCTGGGGACTTCGAGGATGATGATGATGATGATGATGATGACGACGATGATGATGGTTTTGACGACCGATATATCAGGAAAAAGTCAACAATGAAAAAGTTCGGGAAAAGTTTTTTCAAAGATTACGAAGGTGACGATGACGACGACGATGACGACGACGATGACGACGACAAAGATAGAAATACAATCGAAAAACTGAACCTGAGTTTTAATTCGGAAATGAAAAAATGTAAACAAAATAAAAAGTTCACCCGTTGTCACCATGGTAAAAACTTCAAAGAATCTTATCTTACAAAGAGCAATGCGAAAATATTGAAAAAAATTTTGAAAAAAATTCTTAAAACGCAGAACAAAAAATCGAAACGTAACCTATTGCTCGGAATAAAACCGGAAAGTAATTTGAAAAAGATGTGCGCTCAATACCTTCGCAGTATCCTCTTACTTCTCCCTCTTCAACCTCACAACTACAAGGATGAATTTGAAAAGGACAAACTCCAAATTCGATTTTCCAAAAACGGCAAAAAGCTGTTCAAAGATTTGAATAAAATAATTCATAATAAGAGATGCAGTCGAGAAGTAGTTCTGGCTCCTGAGTGCTGCGAAAATTATCTCGACTCCAAATTTTATTTGCCGCTAAAATTGAGCGGAGAACAAAAATATGATAATTATCTTGGCAGGTTTTCTACCAATCAATGAGAATGCTGTTGGTGTGTGTGTAAAAAGAGAGAAAGAGAGAGACAAAGAAAAAGACAAAGAGAGAGAAAGAGAAAGTAGTGAATAAGGAAAAAAATGAAGAGAGATAGAAATGTGATTTAGAATAAATATATATATTTGAATTAAGGGAAAACTGAATAATGCAAAATTAGTATCTTCATTATAATTTAAATTATTAACTTCTATAAATATATTCACGCAGAGTCATTTTGAGATGTAACGGAAATTTTAATAATTATGACGTCACCGTTACGTCACTTGTCGCATCTTAACTTGCTAAGTCAATTCGCATACGTTCAGTTAGGATGCTAACACTCCTAACAACTTGTCGTCGTTCCAGCTTTATAGTTTCATTATCAATCTAATTGTTGTTTATGTTATTATTATTTGTTTTTACAATTAAATATTATTATTATTGTTATTTCGTTGCAAAGTCATATATTTAATGTTACAATATCGCCAATTTTTATGCATACATTAATAACAACATCATAAATGTTTAAACAAAGAGACACACACACACACACACACACACATATATATATATATGTATAATGTAAATGTATACACACATCATCATTTTTCAGTCATTACCATCATCATCATCATATCCACGTCACCAGTTCATTGCTAGGCACGCAAATATTGCTGTCTGTCATTAATCGTTAAAACGTTATCATTATCGTCATCATCATCATTTCACTCGTTTGTTTTATCATTTCATCATCATCATCATATGATAATCATCGTCGTCGTCGTCATCATCACATGGTAATCATCGTTATCGTCATTCTTATGGTAAGTAGTAAGGACAATTGGAGATTTTGATTTTAGTTTAAAGGATGATGAAATGGTGATGTTAATTAGTTTAATAATTACCTTGATTTATGTCGACAAAGGCTTATATTTACTTTAATTTTATTCAAATTAGTTATATATTTAATAAATAGATATATAGATAGATATATAGATAGATAGATAGATAGATAGATAGATAGATAGATAGATAGATAGATAGATAGATAGATAGATAGATAGATAGATAGATAGATAGATAGATAGATAGATAGATAAATAGGTAGGTAGATATGTAGGTAGGTAGGTAGATAGCCAGGCAGGCAGGCAGACTGACAGACATAGATAGATATAGATATTCGTATTTCTATTAACTTTTAAGTGTGCTTACATCGTTCGTTCATTTTAATTTTTCATTTAAAAAACTTTTTGAAAATTTTCCCACGTTCGAAAATAGAATTTGTTTCATGTTTAAAAATGTTTCAAAGCGTTTTGTTTCATACTCATAAACAATTAATTGAATTATTGAATAAATTCAATTAAAATACTAATCAGATTAATTAACATCCAAAAAGAGATAATTATTTTTGCATTATCCATTATCTAGATGACGAGAAAAGTTTTTATGTTTGTAGATGTTAAGATGATAAAAAAAATTGAACAAACGAATGAACGAACAAAGATGAGTTGAATGATTGATATCGCGAATTAACAAACGAATAATTGAATAATCAATTACATAATTGATTAATTAACTAAGTAATTATACTTATTAACTACTGGCATGTGTTAGAACAACAAATCAATAATTTTTTTTTGTTTACCTCACAATTCAACTTAAGACTACACCAGTAACAATAATAATAACGACGACAACAACAACAATGTAAAAACAATTTATACTAATAATAATTATTATTAATATTATAAATAATTAGTAATAATAATATTAATTTAGGTTTTATCCACCCGACTTTGATCGATTTTTCCATCAAACCCACAATTAAGTTATTCATCTGCCTCGCGCCCATCTGCTGACCGAACAAACAATATGAGTGGATTGGTGGGCTGATAGGTAGGTAGATGATAAAATAAAATCTGTATTGTATATCAATAAACACACACATACACACAAACACAGAGTGAAAGAGAGAGAGAGAGTTAAGAGAAAAAGAGACATTAATAAACAAACATGAGATGAGATGAAATTGTTGTAGTTGTTGTTGCGTTAGAAGTTTTTAAATCAATGATCACTTCGGTATTATTATTATTATTGTTGTTGTTATTATTATTATTATTGATATCATCATCATCAACGTTTTCTAGTGATTACAACTGCACCATCTTGGTGTGACATTAAAAACCAAAAACATGTTGATCAAAGCTGATATTGTAATTTTTATTATTGCTATTATTATTATTATTATTGACAACACTAGTAGTAGAAATAGTAGTAGTAGCAGTAGCAGCAGCCACATCAGTAGCAACAATAGTTGTAGTTGTAGTAGCAGTAGTACTAATTGCACAGTAGTATTAGTAGTAATAGAACTAGCGATTGTATTGGAAGTAGTAAGTAACAGTAGTAGTATTGTTGTTGTTGTTGTTATTATTATTATTATTGTTATTATTATCTTTACTATTATTGTTATTATTATTATTATATGAAATTAATGAGACTATCAAGTTATTTACTCATTTGATCATGCAACATTGCAATATGCGGTAATTTGTATGCGTGCGTGTGCGTGCGTGTGTGTGCGTGCGTGTATCTAGGGTGTAACAGTTGCGAATAAGTTACTGAATAACACTGTAAACGCTAACAGGAGTTTTTATGTCTCAAGAGTCAACACTAACGCCATTACATCTATTTGCATTTGTTGCTTTGCACTTGGAGGATTCAATAAAGTCATTAATTAGAGCTGTTTCTGCGCGGTAGACCAGACGCAAAATCGCGGAACTGTCGATAAAATTGCGTGTTGTTTACCTCTAGCAAAAGTCTATATATGCCTCAGAAGGCGATTTGTGATTTTAGTTCGATTGCAAAAATTGTTTGCGATATATTCAGAGAAGAACGATTTTTGGATTTTGCTTTGGGCGAAGCTAGAATGTGAGTTTGAGATTTCAATTCAATTGGTAATTTTCACCTCAGTTAATTACTTTTATTTATAAATTACTATGCAAAAACCATAACTGGTTCAATTATTTACAAATTTCCCCGTCAGTTTATTCAATTAACCTTGATATTCAAACATTCCTAAAACTAATTCGCGGCCTTTTTGAGACGTAATAAGCGCACCAACATGAGGTGCAGTTTCAACTTGCAATGTCTCTTCCTCACTCTCCTCATTATCGGTTAGCAATTTTGTAATAAAATTAATAGTAGTATATGAACATTTTCATAAATAAATTAAAATTTATATTAATATGGATGAAAAAAACATGACAGGTTGTCAAACTAATGATTTGGTGAAAAAATCTGAAGTTGAATCTGATAACATCAAAGACCTTTTAAACAAAAAACCCGACGAGCATAAGTTTCACGCGAAAATTAAGGACAATGGAAAAACAATTGACTTGAGCGACAAATCGTTAAGCAAGTTAAACATTTCAATTTTATTAAAAATAGATTTATAAATTACGATGAATTTTCTTTTAGGTTATAGTTTAATAAATTTTAAATAATAACAATAAATCAAATTCAGGTCATGGTCTATTAGACCTCCTCTTACAAAGAACGATGGTAGAAGACGACGGTCTAGGTTATTATTGCTGAATTTTTCAGAAATTTATAAGAAAGATAACGTATAAATAGTTTCAAAGAGCAATTGCATTGTAAACATCACATGATCGCCATATTTTTGTTTTTTTCCATTTTTAGAAGGTTGCCTCTGCGGAAAGTTTTTCCAGCACTTCACCCCAGGCTGTCATGGTAAGTAAACACCTCATTGAAAAAACCGATTTTTAATTTTTTTTTATTTGGAAAAAAGTTCATGACTCACAATCGAAAATAAAGTAAAAAGTTTCTCACGAGACCAACTTTTAAACTTCAACTTGATGAAATTTCATAACTCAGAAAAAAAAATTGAAAATTCAAGGTGGTGGTAGAAGAAAACCGTTAAAAAAACACATAAAACCAAAGAAAGACAAACACGTTCCAGAAAAAGGTTTAGAGAGTTTAAAATTTATAATTGAGTAGCTCATCAAAAAATTTATATCATTTTATTATTATGTCAAATTGTATTTTAAGATAAACCAGTTGAGCAATCTAAACCCCACGATAAGAGTATTCTTTGCTATTTATGCTAAATCATCCATTTAGTTTAGGTAATCATAGTGGAAAGCCAAATAAATTGATCATAACTGTAACAGTTGTGTTAATAATTTTGAAAATCTCGAATCATATTTAATGAGACAACGCAGAGAAATAGAATTTGAGAAATTTGTTGTTCTTTAAGGATTGGAAATGATTGTTAACAATACTTTTATAAAAATAAATTTTTTGAAAAATCAAGAACATCAAAAAAACCTTTTTGAACAGATGCTGTTTCAATCGCTTCTTCAACGTTTCTATCGATGATTGTTGATGGATGATGATGATGAGTGGCAAACTGTTCCGTATTGACGGTGAACAGTATGAAAAACCATCATTGGCGAGAGCTGGTTTATTGACTGGTTGATGCAGTTACAATGATGACGGCAGACAAAGGTGATGATTAACAGATGAGCAAAGGCGAAAGAGTTTGTGAAGATATAGTGGCTGAGATGTGTTTAATGTTTCGTATGTGAAGACATCAATTTTATATTTGATGCTTTGATGAATCGGCAGCCAGTGCAGGTGAGCAAGAGACGATATACTAGAAGACAAACGAGGTAATTCTAAAACAAGTTTGGCTACCAGTCTGTTTTGAATGAGCTGAAGAGAAGAAATTAGATAGGCCGGAGTTTCATATAGCAGAGAGTTGCAGTAGTCAAGGCGAGATAATGCAAGGCAGCGTGCAAGCCATTTCAATTGATACGTAAAATATATGAATAAATACCGCCATAGTTATTTCAATTATCGAGTACATTATTAGAGATAATTTTAATTTTCAATTATCTAATTAAAAATAAACTTGCTGAGAAAAATTGTTTAACGGAAACACCATTTGTGCTGCCAGTTCCTGAGCCAGAGCCTGAAGAAGGTGTGTTTATACATTTCATTTTTCTATGAATCTTTCACAAATTGAAGTAAGGCGTGTAAAACAGTTCAAATTCATTGACATTTTTGTGGTGCGGTAGTGTAATGGTTAAGGTTCCTGTTACTGGAATTGTTGTGTCGGAATTCGAATGTCCAAAAAAACTATAAAACTTAATAAGTCGTCTAATGATAGAAAAACTTTAATTTACAAAAGTGGAGACATTTATTTATTGGTTCTGTTGAAATGTTACTTTGTTAATAAGTAAAATATAAATTAATGAGTAAATACTTTAAAACTCAATTTTTTTCAGAACAACCAGTCAAGTCTGAAGAACCTCCAACTGAAGGTTTGTTCTCATTCACAAATCATATGTATGCAGATCATGATTTTCAAATATAGTGAAGTCATTTTATGCCAGTAATTCAAATATCATTCCTAAACATACATCGATTTAAATTTATAGTTAGTTAGAAAAAGCTAATTAGAAAATTGAAAGTTTTGATTGAAGTAAAAAAAATGATAGAAAATGATATTAATACACTTGAAAAATGTCTAGAAACGTCTTATATAATACTGAAACAAATTCACACAGGGCCAGGACAAATGAATGAACTGCCGACACTTAGCGAAGGACCATTAGAAAGTAAAAAAATTGGCGTAATGAAATGATAGATCCATCAATTAGGCTATTAATATCGATTTTATTAGATTAGCCGGTTTCGAATCTGGCATAAAACACAGGGGGTAATTTTATTGCATGAAATATTATGTTTAAAATTATCAGAATCTGGCCCTTTCGTCAGAAAAGTAGAACGGTTCAAAACTATTGTCTATTACTATTGAAAAAACTATTACTTTTACAATGCTTATAAAAGTCTGTTAATTGTTCATCAGAATATATGAATGTATGCAAAAAATAGTGTTACGAACAAAAACATAGTGTTAAAATTTGAATGGATATATAAACAATACTGATCATTAAGCTAAAAAATTTCTATTTAGAAAATAAATTTCAAATTCACAAAACTAAGGTTCCTTTAAAGTAGTTAGATTAGCAAAAAATGACATTAATATTTTTCTAACTGCAGGTTCCAGACAAGAAAAACCTGTTGAACAGACAAAATCTAAAGACGAAGAAAAATCAGTTTCCAGAGAACAGACAGAACCTTATGAAATAGGTGAAATGACTTTTAAAGAAGAAGAACCTGTTGAAAAGAATAACTCTCAAGATGAAGAAAAATCAGTTCCCAAGCAAGAAAAACCCGTTGAGCAGATAAAATCACAAGATGAAGAAAAATCAGTTCCCAGACAAGAAGAACCCGTTGAGCAGACAAAATCTCAAGATGAAGAAAAATCAGCACCCAGACAAAAAGAACCTGTTGAGCAAACAAAATCTCAAGATGAAGAAAAATCAGCACCCACACAAGAAGAACCCGTTGAGCAAACAAAATCTCAAGATGAAGAAAAATCAGCACCCACACAAGAAGAACCTGATGAACAGACAAAATCTCAAGATGCAGAAAAATCAGCACCCAGACAAGAAGAACCCGTTGAACAGACAAAATCTCAAAATGAAGAAAAATCAGCACTCACACAAGAAGAACCTGTTGAACCTACTAAATCTCAAGAAGAAGAAAAATCAGCACTCACACAAGAAGAACCTGATGAACAGACAAAATCTCAAGATGAAGAAAAATCGGCACCCAGACAAGATGAACCTGTTGAAAAGACAAAATCTCAAGATGCAGAAAAATCAGCACCCAGACAAGAAGAACCCGTTGAACAGACAAAATCTCAAGATGAAGAAAAATCAGCACTCACACAAGAAAAACCTGTTGAACCTACTAAATCTCAAGAAGAAGAAAAATCAGCACTCACACAAGAAGAACCTGATGAACAGACAAAATCTCAAGATGAAGAAAAATCAGCACTCACACAAGAAGAACCTGTTGAACCTACTAAATCTCAAGAAGAAGAAAAATCAACACTCACACAAGAAGAACCTGATGAACAGACAAAATCTCAAGATGAAGAAAAATCAGCACCCAGAAAAGAAGAACCTGTTGAACTGACAAAATCTCAAGATGAAGAAAAATCAGCACCAACACAAGAAGAACCTGTTGAACAGACAAAATCTAAAGATGAAGAAAAATCAGATTCCAAAGAACAGACAGAATTTAATGAAATAGGTGAAATGACTTTTAAAGAAGAAGAACCTATTGAAAAGAAAAATTCTCAAGATGAAGAAAAATCGGCACCCAGACAAGATGAACCTGTTGAAAAGACAAAATCTCAAGATGAAGAAAAATCAGTTCCCAAGCAAGAAAAACCCGTTGAGCAGATAAAATCACAAGATGAAGAAAAATCAGTTCCCAGACAAGAAGAACCCGTTGAGCAGACAAAATCTCAAGATGAAGAAAAATCCGCACTCAGACAAGAAGAACCTGTTGAACAGACAAAATCTCAAGATGAAGAAAAATCAGCACCCACACAAGAAGAACCCGTTGAGCAAACAAAATCTCAAGATGAAGAAAAATCAGCACCCACACAAGAAGAACCTGATGAACAGACAAAATCTCAAGATGAAGAAAAATCAGCACCCAGACAAGAAGAACCCGTTGAACAGACAAAATCTCAAAATGAAGAAAAATCAGCACTCACACAAGAAGAACCTGTTGAACCTACTAAATCTCAAGAAGAAGAAAAATCAGCACTCACACAAGAAGAACCTGATGAACAGACAAAATCTCAAGATGAAGAAAAATCGGCACCCAGACAAGATGAACCTGTTGAAAAGACAAAATCTCAAGATGAAGAAAAATCAGCACCCAGACAAGAAGAACCCGTTGAACAGACAAAATCTCAAGATGAAGAAAAATCAGCACCCAGACAAGAAGAACCCGTTGAGCAGACAAAATCTCAAGATGAAGAAAAATCAGTTTCCAGAGAACAGAAAGAACCTAATGAAATAGGTGAAATGACTTTTAAAGAAGAAGAACCTGTTGAAAAGAATAACTCTCAAGATGAAGATCAGACGAATCAAGAAAAATCAGCTCCCAAAGAAGATGAAAATTTACCTAGTTAGTAGTTTGTTTTTCATCAAATTTTTTAATTGTTCTCAAATATCAACAATTAAATTAAAATTTTTTATGCATGTTAAACACGTTTTTTTTACAATTTATTTTACTGTAACCAATTTGATTTTATGGCGTTTTGTATTCTAAGTATATGTTCTCAAATCTCATTGGTTAAAATTTGTTAAACTTGAATGTGCATATTGAAAATGATTTATTATCTCTTTATTAAGTTGAAACGAACAGATCAACCAATAATATTTTTCGCCACACAACAAAAAAATTTGTACGTATTAATTATCAGTCTGTTTAATGTTTCAGGTCTCGGTGTGATGAATGAGTTGCCGTCTGGCGAAAATGAAAAATCTAAAGGTAATATACATTTTAATAGAATCAATTAACTATATTTTATTTTATAAAACGCTCACTTAGTGATCTTTTGTTATAATAACAAAAGTTCGCGATTACTCTTAAATTAAAAAACTCTTCATTGATAAAATTTTATAATGTTTTATTTTCAAGAGTCGTAGTTTAAAAAGAAACACTTCTTAAAAAACATTATAACCAGTTATTAAAATTCTGCCGAATCATCGAAATCTCAAGGTGAAGAGAAACCAACTTCTGGAGAAGAAAAATCAAAAGGCTCTGCTGAATCACCAAAATTCGAAGATGAAAAGTCGATAGGTGATGTGATGATTTTCTTACATAAGGTTTAAGTAGTATAAACTTCCGACTGAAAACTCATCAGGCTCACTTTTTTATTTTAAAATGTTAAAAATTTTAGTCAAAATATATAATAGTTGATGTCACAAAATACAAATAGATCCAACTAGGAATTCTTTTTACTCACAATCACCAGAAAATTTTTAAATTTAATTATCAAAAGCAAAAAAAAATTGAACTTATATTATTCCGTTTAATGTTTCAGTTCCTGGTGAAATGAATGAACTTCCGTCTGGCGGCAAAGAAATATCTCAAGGTTATATGCTGATTGTTTAATGATTTTTATACAGTACCAAAATGTATATTTTATACATCTCTTCATCATAGTCAAAAATCTTTATCGATAAGATTTTCAAACGTTTTTCTTTTTATAAATCGGTGTTAGATTAAAAACGTATGATAATTGATTTCGTGATCAGATCATACTGCGAAATTTATTCTAACTCGTTCATAATTTTTAATTTTTTTCAGTTCAAATAAGTCGCTAAAACGAGTTAAATTTTTTAAAACAGATTCGTAATTTTATTTGAAATTTTTTAATTTCGTGATTGTTTTACAAAAAAGCTTATTTAAGCGAAAATTTTTAAATTTGTTATTAAACAAATACTTAGAACCTCCAACGAATGACGAAAAATCGCATCCTGAAGGTTTATTCGATTTTAACTAACAGAATTCACTACTGCCTACTACTAAATTGCTGTATATATTATTTCTACTACATCTAAGAGAAGTCTGCTACAAACTCAATCACAGTGTATGTAAACAAATTTGAATCGGGGCAAAAATCCCTTTGGTTAGAACGCAGCTACTGTAAAAGAAACGCCAATCACCTCAACCGTTACACCGTCGCATCACCCGCTTTACAGAAATAATGTTTATACCATGTTTAATATTATTTAGGTCATCCTTCCAAATTTGGATTGAGACTTATATATTAAAGTGAAAATTTTAAAAATTATTATTTATTTCATAGGTAGCCAGTGTAAGAGAATAAGATATGGATATATATGAGAAAAGATTGTAAGAGAATAAGATATGGATATATATGAGAAAAGATATATATAGATATATACGGCATGATATATCTAGAAATATAGGGCATGAGCAACTAGATAAGCTGTTGAGTTAAAAGCTTTACTCAAAGGATAGAGTGTACAATCAGGAAAGCCATAGTAGAGAAAATTGCAATAAATTTATCTTAGATAAAACTAAAGATGTTACGAGTATTAAGACTTTAAACCATAAGACCATTACACCGTTCATATGTAAAATGAAATGAGATTAAGTTTTACAAAACTTCATTATTTAGAAACTTCTGCCTCTGCTGATTCAAACGAAGAGTCACTAGGCGAAGGCCAGCCAGGTTAAAATTATGCAATTTTTTTTCAAATTAACTTCTGTGATTTTATTACCTTAATCCCATATTTTAATTTTTAAAGATTTTTCAACGTTTGGCATTCAACACAATCTATTGAAACGTTCTTTAAAATTTTCAAGCAGTGTTCAAAAATTACCTAACTTACCAAATAAAAACTGAATTTCATTTCTTATGGCGATCTAATTTATCGAATTTATGACAAAAAAATATTAACTTTGTTTTTTATCAACTCTAGGTCAACCTTGGAAACCGCATTCAAAAAGTATGACTAGTAGATCTTAAAAATACTGTTTATCTACAAAGTTGTAATTAATCTGTTGATTCATGATGATATTTATATTAGTTTTAAATTAATTATTGTTTTATTATACGGTAAATTATTACAAGAGTGACTCGTCTACATATTAGGCTTAGGTCTCCTCAGATGTTAATGTAATTTTCTAGAAAGTTACAAAATAGATATAACTCAGATAAAAAACTTATAGTTTAAGCTTAAAAATTGAAAAAAATCTGTTCAAACTTTGTTAAACAAGATGTTAACAATTTTTCAGTTCAATGCTTAATCTGTAACACGCTAACAGTTTTATTGTTCCCACTTGTTTTATCTGTTATCCAATTCAAGCTGAAAACTAAACAATTGCTCCAATTTATTAACGTATTAATGTGCCTTAGAATGTAACAAAAAATAAAAATACTTGCTTATTTTGTTCGATAATTCTTAAATCGTCACATTCGAGATTATCCTAAAAGACATAGAGAAAGTTTTGCATAAGAAATTATACAAATTCTTTAAGACATCACATAAAACATATTTTTAAATTTAATTTTTTTCATTAACATTGAATTACAACTTGCTCTACAGAAACTGGTAGAAAGAAAATCTACAAAACTAAAACCAAAACTGAAGTCATAACTAAAGGTGGTATATTTGATAAACAAGCTGATCCAAACATTTACAAACTATTTTTAATAAAAAACCCATTAGGATCACTTTAATTGGTTAGTTCAAATGATTGTTGACTTTCATTAAACCAAAAAAATTTTCAGAACAACCTTCAAAGTCAACTGATTCTGGTGCTGAAGGTTAGTGATGCAAAAATAAAAATTGCACATAAACAACTCACCATAAGTCAAAAAATTTTATTCGAGATAACCTTTGAAAATTTGGTAAATACAATCATATATGTACGACGTAGAACCAGAAAACTTTCAATCAATGAATCAATCAATAAATCAATCAATCGATTTATTTCTAAAGCGACATATCCGCAATGTTCAACAGTGCTCCTCATTGAATTTTTTAAACAGATGGGTCTTGAGATTTGCTCTGGGCTTCATAAGTGATGGAGAAGTAGTTAGAGAAGTAGATAAAGAGCTTCAGAGAAAAAAACCCAAAAAAGCAAAAGCAGATTTAGCATAAGATTGTTTAACAAGAGTTAAGATGAGAACGAAAAGATAATCGTAAACCAGGCTTAAAAGAAGCGTAAAATTCAGGCTTAATTAATTTACCCCAAGTACTTAGGAAATATTTTAGATCTTGCAATGTACAAGTCTTAACTTGTACATTATTTAATGTTATTAAAGTGGTAATTTCAAAAATTATTATATAATTTATAGGTAGCCTAGCCAGTATAATAGAACAAGATATGGAGACGTGTAAAAAAAGATAGAAACACGAACAACTAGACAAGTAGCTAAGTTAAAAGCTTTACTTAAAAGGATAGAGTGTGGAATGAGAAGTCCAAAGTAAAACATATTAAAACAAATGAATCATAGATAAAACTAACGAGGTAACGAGTATAAAATATTTAACCATAAGACCGTCGAGTCACCCATATTTAAAATGAAATGTGGCTGAGTTTTACAAAAGTTTTACTACTCAGAAACTTCTGTTTCCGCTGATTCATACGATTTAAACATTAATGTGCAAATTTCAAAAACTATTATATATTTTATAGGTAGCCAGTATAAGAGAACAAGATATGGAGATATGTAAAGACACGAGCAACTAGACATGTAGCAAAGTTTAAAACTTTACTTAAAAAGATAGAGTGTAGAATCAGGAAGGCGATAGTAGAGCAAATTAAAATAAATCAATCCTAGATAAAACTAATGAATTAACGAGTATCAAATCTATAACCAATGACCATCACGCCGTCCATGTGTAAAACCAAATGAGATTGAGTTTTAAAAATTTTATTATTCAGAAACTTCTGCTTCCTCTTATTCAAACGAAGAGTCACTAGGCGAAGGCCAGCCAGGTTAAAATTATGCCATTTATTTATATATTTCTCAAAGTTCTTTCTAAGATTTTTTTTACCTTTGTCATCTATTTCATTCTATTAAACAATTTTTCAAACGTTTAACACTGAATACTATATAGTGAAACTTAATTTCAAATTTATAAGCAAATGGTCAACAGTTAACAAATTTACCAAATAAAATTTCGTTTCATTTCTCATGGTGATCTAATTTATTGGATTTATATTAAATAAATATTAATATTGTTGCATTTAAGCATAATTATGTATAATAGTAATTTAAATAGTAATTTTATTCTATCAATTTTAGGTGAACCTTGGAAACCACATTCGAAAAGTATGCCTAGTAGATCTTAAAAATGCTATTTATTTACAAAGTTGTAACTAATCATAATATTTAATTTAGCTTTAAAATAATGAATTTTTTATTATACAGTAAATTATTACAACAGTGACTCGTCTACATAACATTGAATCATAAATTGCTCTACAGAAACAGGTTGGAAGAAGATCTACAAAACTGCAACCAAAACTGATGTTATAACTAAAGGTGATATATCAATCAACTTTGTATATTTAAGCATATTTTTATAAATTTTAAAATACGTTTAGTCTGTCACATAATATTTTTTTCAAATTGGATTGTAAATATTTCAGATGTGCTGTCGTGTCCTCATGGTTTCACATACTTGCCTCAAATCAAAAAATGTTATAAATTGTTGACGAAAAGAAGTAGCTGGAACAGAGCCAGAAGAGCATGCAAGAGAATAGATCCCAAGACACATTTAGTGGTAATAAAGAATTTGCAAGAACAGAATTCAGTGGCAGGCTATTTGAAAACAATGAACGGTTAGTTGTTGAAACAAAATTTAATCATTTAATTAAATTAAAAATATGATTAATTTTTTTCACAGACACCATCCAAAAAAGTTGCTTCGATTCTGTAAACTCCAACGTTCTGGTATGGACTGCTGCAAGAAATTTGAAGGAAGGTGGTGGTTTCGTGTGGCTGCCCAACAGTGATAGTGAGCCAGAAAAAATTGAATATTCGGCTTGGGCGACACAAAATCCTCAGGGTCAATGTTCATTCTTCAAATTTCCTGACTTTTTATGGACGAGTGGGCCTTGTGGGTGCACCCCGGAAAATCCGTTTGTTTTTTCTCAATCTTTTTTATTCAAATTAGTCTCCCTGTCATTTTTTCATCAAATAAACATTTTTTAATATTTGTAAAAACATAAACACAATTTGAGAAACTTTGGTGAAATTACCCTAAAATAATTAATCTAAAAACAACTTGTGATATTTTTATTCGAATTTATAAATTGAAATCAACGAAAAAAATATTGAAAAAGTTTATCAGGGGACAGTTCAGCGCCATCAACTGATTCAAATGAAGGTTGCGCATTTTATTTTTGCTTACATAGTAATAAATCTTTGAAACAGAGTTTAAAATAATCACTAACTTAGTATAGCTAGATATTACTTTTATTTTTTTTTTTAATTATTTCCATCCGACCGAATAAGGCATAGGTGAACTTGAAAACTACTCCTTAAATGAGGATTCAAAAGATAAGAATAAACAAAAGAAGAGAAGAATTAAGTGGGTTCATGTAGGAGATTGGTCCATTGAAGGTTGTTTCTAAAAACTTTGAAAAAAATTTACTAATATTTTTTTGTTTGAAATAAACGCGTTTCATGATTTCAAATTTTTTAAATTTTTAAAAGATATGGGTGATGAAGTTTCAAAAGATTTTGATTCTTGGTCAGATTGGGCAAAAGATGAAATAGGTTCAAGGTGGTATCGAGTTAGAACGTGCAAAAATGAGAAAAAGGAAAACTGCAATGGCAAATTGAAACAATGGAGAAAAAAAGTTGGCTTGAAAAAAATGCACAAAAATCATCATTTTGGAAGAAAATACGGAAACAAATCTGGTTCTAAAGGCACGGAAAAATCTGGTTCATTTTCATATGAAGAAGATTCTAATGGTTTGACTGACGATCAGGAAGACTTCTCTATTAGTGAAGATTCAAAAGATAAAAATAAACAAAAGAAGAGAAGAATTAAGTGGGTTCATGTAGGAGATTGGTCCATTGAAGGTTGTTTCTAAAAACTTTGAAAATAATTTACTAAAATTTTTTGTTTGAAAGAAGCGCGTTTTATAATTTAAAATTTTTTAAATTTTCAACAGATATCGGCGATGAAGTATCAAAAGATTTTGATTCTTGGTCAGAGTGGGCAAAAGATGAAATAGGTTCAAGATGGTATCGAGTTAGAACGTGCAAAAATGAGAAAAAGGAAAACTGCAATGGCAAATTGAAACAATGGAGAAAAAAAGTTGGCTTGAAAAAAATGCACAAAAATCATCATTTTGGAAGAAAATACGGAAACAAATCTGGTTCAAAAAGCTCGGAAAAATCTGGTTCATTTTCATATGAAGAAGATTCTAATGGTTTGACTGACGATCAGGAAGACTTCTCTATTAGTGAAGATTCAAAAGATAAAAATAAACAAAAGAAGAGAAGAATTAAGTGGGTTCATGTAGGAGATTGGTCCATTGAAGGTTGTTTCTAAAACTTTGAAAATAATTTACTAATATTTTTTTGTTTGAAATAAACGCGTTTCATGATTTCAAATTTTTTAAATTTTTAAAAGATATGGGTGATGAAGTTTCAAAAGATTTTGATACTTGGTCAGATTGGAAAAAAGATGAAATAGGTTCAAGATGGTATCGAGTTAGAACGTGCAAAAATGAGAAAAAGGAAAACTGCAATGGCAAATTGAAACAATGGAGAAAAAAAGTTGGCTTGAAAAAAATGCACAAAAATCATCATTTTGGAAGAAAATACGGAAACAAATCTGGTTCTAAAGTCACGGAAAAATCTGGTTCATTTTTATATGAAGAAGATTCTAATGGTTTGACTGACGATCAGGAAGACTTCTCTATTATTGAAGATTCAAAAGATAAAAATAAACAAAAGAAGAGAAGAATTAAGTGGGTTCATGTAGGAGATTGGTCCATTGAAGGTTGTTTCTAAAAATTTTGAAAATAATTTACTAATATTTTTTTGTTTGAAAGAAGCGCGTTTTATAATTTTAAATTTTTAAAATTTTCAACAGATATCGGCGATGAAGTATCAAAAGATTTTGATTCTTGGTCAGAGTGGGCAAAAGATGAAATAGGTTCAAGGTGGTATCGAGTTAGAACGTGCAAAAATGAGAAAAAGGAAAACTGCAATGGCAAATTGAAACAATGGAGAAAAAAAGTTGGCTTGAAAAAAATGCACAAAAATCATCATTTTGGAAGAAAATACGGAAACAAATCTGGTTCAAAAAGCTCGGAAAAATCTGGTTCATTTTCATATGAAGAAGATTCTAATGGTTTGACTGACGATCAGGAAGACTTCTCTATTAGTGAAGATTCAAAAGATAAAAATAAACAAAAGAAGAGAAGAATTAAGTGGGTTCATGTAGGAGATTGGTCCATTGAAGGTTGTTTCTAAAACTTTGAAAATAATTTACTAATATTTTTTTGTTTGAAATAAACGCGTTTCATGATTTCAAATTTTTTAAATTTTTAAAAGATATGGGTGATGAAGTTTCAAAAGATTTTGATACTTGGTCAGATTGGAAAAAAGATGAAATAGGTTCAAGATGGTATCGAGTTAGAACGTGCAAAAATGAGAAAAAGGAAAACTGCAATGGCAAATTGAAACAATGGAGAAAAAAAGTTGGCTTGAAAAAAATGCACAAAAATCATCATTTTGGAAGAAAATACGGAAACAAATCTGGTTCTAAAGTCACGGAAAAATCTGGTTCATTTTTATATGAAGAAGATTCTAATGGTTTGACTGACGATCAGGAAGACTTCTCTATTAGTGAAGATTCAAAAGATAAAAATAAACAAAAGAAGAGAAGAATTAAGTGGGTTCATGTAGGAGATTGGTCCATTGAAGGTTGTTTCTAAAAATTTTGAAAATAATTTACTAATATTTTTTTGTTTGAAATAAGCGCGTTTTATGATTTCAAATTTTTTAAATTTTTAAAAGATATGGGTGATGAAGTTTCAAAAGATTTTGATACTTGGTCAGATTGGAAAAAAGATGAAATAGGTTCAAGATGGTATCGAGTTAGAACGTGCAAAAATGAGAAAATGGATAACTGCAAAGGTAAAAGAAAACAATGGAAAAAGGCGGGTTGGAAAATAAAGCACAAATCGTGGGCTATCAAAGGAGGACATCATTTCAACTGGCTTAAATATGGAAAGTTTGGTTCAAAAGACATTAAAGATTTTGAATCATCCTCTAAAGAAGTTTTACCAGGTTTGAACAAATTTTCTAGTTTTGATACTTTTTTTAATTCATACTTGGTAAAAACTTAATAAAGGTGATTTGGAAGATAGAACGTTGGTGTCTGTTGACAAGGATTCTAAAGGTGATTTGAATTTAAAAACAATGCACAAAGGTTTAATAAAAAAAAACAAAACACGCAAATGGTCGGTAATAAAGGATAAAAGTAGTATGACTGAAGAAGTTCATACCGAATGGCAACAAGGAGGAGAGTTTAAGCATCAGTCCAGCAAAGATAAAAATTCAAAATCAAGCGGAAA